ACTATTATTATTCTGTGTTGTTATATTCATTTTGAAATTAAAATTGAATTGTTCAATGAAAAGAATGAGAAAAAAAATGATTGTCACGTTTGAAAAAAACAGATGATGAAGTGGGAAAATTTTTTCGCTATTTTGAATTTTGAAATTTAAAATTAAATATGAGCGAAAAAAAATATGACAGAATTTTTCTCTTGTTTAAATTGCAATTAAAAATTCTTCAATTTTATTTCTTGATGATGGTGGTGATCATAATTTTCAATAAAAACTTTTTACAACTTTAAACAAACAAAATTCATGAATGATACGGAATTGAATTGAATCTGAAAACAGAAATAAAATGACTAAACTCAATTGACCTTATAAATTGAACCAGAACAGGAATAGAAATTCTGAATGAAATGAATCTAACACAGATGAAGAATGAGAAACCGAAAAACAAAACAAAAAAAAAACACAAAAACGGAACCTACACCCGACCGATCGCGAATCATGTACACAATGAAAGGTGGAAAACCTATTAGCCACATTTAAAATGGTAATTGACGTAATCAAAAAAAAAAAAAAAAAAAAAATAGAACAAAAAACTTGATTCTGTTCATTCTTTGTCTCATGGGATTCACGAAAAGAATATTCATGTTTCTCATCTGGATTCCTTTTTAACATTAAACAAATCAAATTCTGTTTCATTTTCTGCGAATCAATCTCGTTAGTAGAAAGGTGTTTGTGTTCAGAAAAGAATATAAATAATTCCAAATACAATTGAATCTAAAAACGAATCCATTGTTGTTATTGGTTGGAAATTTTCAATTATTTTTCTTCTCTCTTTTTTTTATATTCTACAATCAAATGGAATGTCAATTTTTTATCGAAATTTTGTTCTTTTTTCATTTTCTGCCATTTATTTTCATTTCACATACGTGCTGATGATGATGATGATGATGATCATTCGATTAGTTGGCCGGCCGGTTTTAATCATCACTCAAACATGGAACAGAGAAAGAAAAAAAAGATTGAATTTCAAATGGAAAAAAAGAATTTCGAATCGATTTTTCTATTATTTGAGACAAACAAAAATTGTTTTCTCAATGTTTTTCTCTTTACAACACAATCCTTTATAATCATAATTTGTTTTTATGTGAAAAAAAAAATTTTTGATGGATAACAATGACAATGGCATCTTTGAAGCGGACCAAAATTTTGATGACTTGGGTCAGATTCACTTGATTATGATTCGTTTTGATTCGATTGAAAGAATTCAATATGGAAGATTTGTAAAAGTGACAAATGTGCCAATGCAACGAAGAAGAAATTAATGAATCATTACCAATACAAAACTTCTTGGTTCACTTTATATATATCGCAAATCGAACAAGATCATCATCACTTAGGCAAAACAAATTCTTAGATTTCCAGCTGGAACAGTTGAAGGATGTGTTGGATTCACAGAAGAGTTGTTCAATGATGAGTTTTGGTCAGGGTGACATTCAACTTCTGGTCTTTTAATAAGATCTGGAAAATCATTGTACTTCGGCGTAGTATTAAAACCCAGAACAAAAAAGAAGTCAGAATCGAGAGCTATACTTGATGGAATTCTGTCGATTTTATTGGTTTTTTCAATAAGTCTGCAAATTATATTTTTAGTGGCTCTTTGAGAAAAATCTAAACAGATTGGAGAGAAACAAAAATTGTTTTTCGAACAAACAAACAAATTGTTACAACATTTCTACATTGATCACCGTCTTGCACAATAAGTTTGATTTGATGATGATGATCATGACATTCATTCATTCAATGGATCAATTTCAATCTGGTCATACTGGAAAATGGGAATTTTGTTTTTATTATTCATCATCATCATCATCGTAATCGTAAACACTTTTTTTTTATTTTATTATTTCTATTTCTATTTTATAAAACAAAAATAGATATATATCGATTGATGGATCGATATATATCGATCATTCAAACAATCGATAGTTTGAATTTGAAAATGGTTATATTATTTTATTAACGTTTAATTAATTTAATTCTTGTTTTGTAATTTTAGATAAAATGGATCAAAATTGGACAATGATTATTATTGTCGATGATGATGATGATAATGGACAATAATAATAAAATGAAATCCATTTCCAAATGGAACAAACGAAACAAGAACAATTTGTAATTATTCGGGTTTAAATTTAAAATTAACCAATCGATAAAAAAAACAATGATGCGCATCAACGAAAAAAAAAAATTCATTCTAAATGATGGATTCAACCAACAAAAACCAATGAAATACAGTTATGATTGATTCTGACAGTGAATGATCCAATCATCATCATCATCATCATCATGATTATTACACACACATGTGTTTATGACGCATTACAATTTACACAATTAAATAAAAACACACATATGAACAACAATAAAAAAAATTGAATTTTTTTCAGATTTCATTTTTTTCACCATTATTTTGATTCAACAAATTTCGTTTCAAAAAAAAAAAAAAAAAAAAATTCTTTGAATCTATACACACACACACACACACATGCGTGTACATGATGGTTCCAGTATCGGTATCTCTCTCTCTGTGTGTGTGTGTGTGTGTGTATGTATCTGTGGTTGTATTTTGCACATCGTTTGCCCATTTTTACAATCTACAATCTTTGGAAACTTTTCAGTATAAAAATGACGATCATCGGCATCATTTTTATGTTTTATTATTTCATTTGTAATTCGTGCGCACACACTACATACACACATTGCATTTGATGAAATTTTTTTGTTTTTTTTTTGTTTGTTTCCAAATAATCTATTGCTATTTATATTTTCATTGGTTTTATTGTTGAGAAAAAAAAAAAAAATGTTTTTCATTTTCATTCAACTTTGTGATATATACAAAAATTGATGCTATAAATCCTTCAATTCATTCATTCATTCATTCATTCATTCATTTGAAACAATCGATTCCATTTTTGTTTGTAATCAATCACTACAGGGTTCAATTTAAAAATATATTTTTCAACTTTGTATTAATGTGTGATATGTGTGTATGAATCAAATTGTTTTTTTTTCTCTTTGTTGTTGTTGCGGTTTATTTGTTCAAAAATTTTTCATCCAATCATATGAAATGAGAATAAATTTCATTCATTCATTCAGAATTCCGAAGAAGAAATCAAAAAAACAAAAAAGACATTATAATTTTTTTAATGTTCACATTTAAAACTTTTTTTTTCTTGCTGGTGAATGTTCGTTTTTTTTTTGTTTCTGAAATTCTAACATAAAACATTTGTGAAACGAAAAAAAATTTTTTGGAGAAAAAAATTTTTTTGGCGTCTGTGTGCTACTAATTGTGAATGGGGTGTGTGTGTGTTTCGACGATATGAATACATTCAGTGATCCTGGATGATTAGAAGAAATTTTTTCATTTTTTTCCCCGTCGGTGGTGGTCTTCGTGTGTGTTGGTGTGTGTGTGTGTGTAAACAACATTTATTCATTTCATTTTCGTGTTCGATTTTTTTTTCGTTTTGATCCAGATTTTTTTTTCAATATTCTGGCTTGGTATATCATAATTTATGTTTTGTTTTGATTCGAGTTTAATGTGTTTGTGCCATTAACTTTTTCCACTGGTTCCTCCATATTTTTTTTCCTGCTCAATCATTATACAATGACGATCATAGTTGTTTGACGATGATGATGTTGTTGGTTGGTGTGATTGTATTCATCCTATAATCAAATTGTGGCAAGTCAAAGAAAAATCCTACACACACACAAGCACTCACAAACACGCGGTGATTACCATAATTATCATTATTGTTACAAAACAACACAAAACGATTGTGTAATTTTGTGTGATATGTGTACATCTAAACAAAATTCCGGAACAAAAGAACTAATCGAATAAATTTAATTCATTTTCTTTGATTTTATTATTTTTATGTTTTCCAGAATTTTGTACAGATAATTGTCAAAAAAAAAAAAAAAAAACAGTAGAAAAATTTCCTATAGGAGATTTTGTTAGAAATCATTTTGTGTTTGTTCCATTCATTCTGTGTGTGCATGTGTGTGTGTGTGTGTGTCTCCTAAATTATTTATCTTCCGATTGTTTTGTTGTTATTTCTATTTTTGTCATATAGATCGACATTGATAACATTATCATCATCATCATCAACATTGTTTGTTAACAATGTAATCGATAATAATAGATTTTTTCCAATGTTTTCTATCATCGTCATCATCATACCGGCATCTTATTCACATGAATCATAAATCAATACTAACAATATGAATTGAATGAAACGAATAAATGAAACAAAATCCATTAAAATAATAATGTTTTTCATCCATATTCATGTTATATATAGATTTTTTCATTTTTTCAATTCAAATTCAATGATATCGATATTCAAAAAATGAAAATGTCTAATATTCATTTATCCAACAATGATAATGATGTTGACGGTGAAAGGTCATCATCATTTTTATCAACATCATCACTTCGTTTATTCGAATCATCAGCCACATCTCTTGATTCATCACCATCATCATCATCATCATCATCATCGATGACACACATACGACAACCACCAATCACAGAATCACCATTTTTGGATAAATTAGTTAATGGTATATCAAATTATTATTCAGATGAAAGTTTTGAATCATCTTTAGGTATTGGTGATGGTAGTAATGGTGGTAGTAGTAGTAGTACACTATTCTATGAAACAAGTGGAACTGATATTGATATGATGAGATCACCATCATCATCATCATCATCATCATCAACATTATTTCATCAAACATCATCATCAATATGGCCATCATTTTCATCATCAATAATACAGGCAACACCTCCATCGATATTATCATCATCATCATCTTCTTCTTCATCTCTAACATCATCATCATCGGATTTTGCATCACCAACATTTTTTGGATCATCATTACCATCATCATCATCATCGTCATCATTTTATTCACAATTAAATCCACAACAACAATTTATAAATACACCATCAACATTATCATTAATGATGATGACAAATTCAACAATGTCATCAATATGGGAAACAATTACAGTGACTAATTATAATAAAAATACACTGTTAGATATGACTGAAGAAACAACTGGAAATTATTCATTATTATCAGATGAAGAACAAATGGAACGTAATATTTATATAATGCCTTTATATCAACAAATTTTATGGAGTTTCATATTTGGCACAATGGTATTTGTTGCCGCTGGCGGTAATATTATTGTGATATGGATTGTATTGACCAATAAAAGAATGGTAAATCCAATGTTCAATTTCATTAACTATTTTTTTTTTGTAATTCAATCACAGTATAACACAGTATATATACGCAGTAAGAACGATTAACAAACGGAAATTCAAATGTAATCGATTTGAATCACAAATGTTGTTATCATCATTTGAAAATGATGTCCATTAAATGCAATTGTATATGACGAATAAAATTTATTTATTATAAAAAGTTAATCGAAATGGAAAAAGGAAACCCAAAATGGATAGCAGAATTTTAACAGAATTTTGTGGTCGAAAAGTTTTGCATTTTTTTTATATATCCAAACGAAAAATATTATATAGCAACAGTAATTGAGTTGAAATTTTCATTTTCATTTCATTTTTTTCCCGTTATCATTTGTTTGTATATGACGTTTTTTTTTCTCTAATGAATGATACAACCGAATAGAGTGTTCACTACAACTGACATTCATATACCGATCATTTTTTTTTTTATTTCCGGAAAAATCATTAAAGAATTAACAGGAATAATAAAGAGTTGTATTATATGAAATGAAATGAAATGAAATTATTATTAGCCCAAAATAGAAATTTTTTTTTGCTTTGCTTTGCTTTGCTTGTAAAAAAAAAATAAATCAAATGATGATAATGATGATGTCCATTATGGACAGCCCATAAAATTTTGTTTTGTTTTGTGTTTGTGTTTGTGAAACCATTCTGTGTGTTCTGGTTTCTGGAATTTATCACGCAATATTTTTTCATTAATTTCATCATTTTTTTTGTGATTTTTAATTTTTTTTTTGTAATCTTTTTTTTTCTGTTGTGGTTTTTTTTTTGGTCCAATTATCCATTCTTACACACCATACATTTAGCGTACAGTAACAAATTATTTTCTTGTCAATTTAAGCGTTGCCGATATAATGGTTTCGACATTGAATGTCATTTTTAATTTTATTTACATGTTAAATTCAAATTGGCCTTTTGGAGAATTATTCTGTAAAGTATCGAATTTCATTGCTATATTATCGGTGGCTGCAAGCGTTTTCACATTGATGGCAATATCAATAGATCGGTAAGTATCGAATTTTTTTTTTTTATTTATTTATTTACCACTAATTGATGAATAATAAATATTATTTCCTATTAATCGAAATTACGAAACCATCATCTCTATCCACTAACCAATTGTTTATTTTGTTAGAAATCAGAAAAAAAAAACAAACAAACAAACAAACAAATGAATTTCTTGATCTAAAGTAAATAATCCATAATGTTGATGATGATTATGCATTCAATTATGTAATAATGTTGTGATTAAGCTGCCGACCACCATCACTAAATCGATCGAAATGTATTGATAAATGAATAAATTGATAGAAAAAAAAACAAATGGACAACCAGAGAGTTATTTCATGTTTGTAACATAACATCATCGTAATTACCAAATGATTATTATCATTTATATTCCAAGTAAAAACATCATCATCAAACAGAAAAATTCTTCAGAAATATTCACAATAAATGTAAACCAAATTATAATATTTATGCATTCAATGGATGAAAAGAAATGATATTATCGCTATAATAATCATCATTATCTAACATAAAAAAGAGCATATCTTTTTATCTTACCATCTTTTATATTATATACATATCATATCACATGATGATGTGGCAAATCATTGATTCTTGTCAATTTTCTTTCAAGAATTTGGTTGTTTTTCATTTTATTCTCAACAAAGATTATGTTGCATTTAATTAACGCACACACACACACACACACACATACAAAATTGAGTGTAATCGATAATCATTAACTATTTTTAGGTTTCATTTAATATTTTTTTTTTTTCGTTATGATTTTCTTATCAGAATGCAGGTGTTATATATCTCTATCTTGCAATTATTTCTTCCATCATCATCATCATCATCATCGTTATGAGTGAATTAGTGAAAATCACGAAGAATTCTTGATTCTGAATTTTTATTGCTTCTTTTCTATGATTTATTATGATTCACATTGACATTTAATTTGGCATTTGACAGGTTATATAATAATTATATTATATTTCAAATTAAAAGTCAAAGTAAAAATCTTTTCTCCATTCATCTATGATCAATTCTGTAATTTTGTGCAAGTAGGATATTTTTTTTCGATGAACAAATTCATATGAATTTTTTATCATCATCATCATCATTTTTTTAAAATTAAAATCCGCTGCCATCGAGCAACAGATATATTTAGTTTCATGCAATGTACACATGAAGAAATTCTTGAATTTCATTACTTTTTATGACCTGAATGTCGTTAATATTTAATTTCTATTTTTCTCTTGGTATAAACTTTTTTAATACTTTCAGTATTATTATGTAAATGCTAATAAAAATGATAATTCAACAGAATGAAAAATCATCATGACCTTTATGTTTTTCAATTGTTTTCAACTCAATCATAATCATCATCATCATCATTGTTAACGAAAACTTTTTCATCATAATCATCATAAACATAGTCATCATCATCATCATCATCATTTTTAATTTGGAATTAGAAACAAAACAAAAAAAAAGTTTTTTTTTCTCTGTTTACAATTTATCAACAATGTATCCACCTGGAAAGGTCAAATTGGCTGTATTTTTGTTTTATTTTTTCATATGGATGATGATGATGATGATGAACTAATGAATGATTTGCCGTTGATTAGCAAGAAAAAAGCCATTGATTGAGTAATTGGAATTCTGGAATTTTTTTCATTTCATTTTGCTTAGTAGGCATAAATTTATCATATATAATTTTGATTACATCATATTGTCGTTTGGTGGTAAAACAAAACAAAAAAAAAGTGTGGCAAAGAAACACACTAATAAAATTTTTTTTTATTCCAATGAAAATCATCATCATGAATTCTGCTGAATCTTCTATCAATGAATGAAGAATTTTGAATTTTCATCTAACTTTTCCTTTTCACTTCAAATCCATTCGTATACATAGAAAAAAAAAACATTGAGCTGTTTTTAACTCTTTGGGGACCACTTCTATACTTTACATTGATAGTTTGTATGGAAAAAAACCAAAAACTTTTGTTAAGTTAATTTGAACAAACTTTTTTTGTTGTTGTTGTTGTTTATCGAAATCACTTTTTTTTCCTGATTATCCCTTTTTGGTCTACTGATTCCATGTTTTATTTATATACTTTTTTTTCCTGATGGACTGTTGTTGTTTTTTTTTCATTTTATTGAGAATAAATAAATGAATGAATGATGAAGTAGGGGGGAAAAAAATATTGAAAGCTTTTTTTAACTTCTATTAACCAAGTTAATTTGATTCATTTGAAAGTTTTATCGGCCATATGAATTGAATTGAGAGTCAGTTACCTAAATTTTTTTTTTTTTTTTTTGGTCGTTATTATTCTATGACGATCACACTACCATACTAACTAACTAACTAACTAACTAACATTTCATTACATTGAATGATTGATCGATCTTTAAATTGAACCCAATACACAACAGTATTGCAGATGTTGATGCTTGTTTTTTGTTTCTATATATATTTATATATTTGTTCCAATTATGTTTCAGTCTTGTTGTCAATCAGTTTTTTTTATTCTATAACAGAATTCATTGTACAATGAATTTCAGTGCCAAACTAATCATTTTTGTTGTTGTTGTTGTTGTTGGTTTTACTTTCTTTTTCGTTTAATGTTCATTTTGAAACAAAAAGTAATTTCATTTGTTGTTGTTGTTGTTGTTGTTATTTTCGATTATAAACGATTTAAGATTCTTTCTTTTGTTTTTTTAAATTTTTTTTTTTTTTTTGTTGGAGGTGGAGAGATTCTGGTGTTCTCAAGTGCAACCAATTTGGAAGCCATTTCCTATTGTGAAAGTAAATAACACTTGTGAAAGATAAGTCAAGATGATCATCGCAATGATGGATACTGATGATGATGATGATTACGGTCATTAGCCAATAATTATCCAGAAACAGACAAAGCATGTAACAAAGTCAGTTTTTTGTGTGTTTTAGCTTGCACCAAGCAAAAAAAAAAAACAATCCAAAAACAATTTGACCATAGAATTTTAACCCATCATGTGATTTAACAAAAAAAAAAACAATTTAACATCCAAAATTATATTATGTTGTCCAGTATTATTATCTTTGTTTTGTTTTCAATTCACAAAATCACTATTTCGACTCTTTCATTTCATCGATATGATTCATCAAAGTTGTTGAAATTCGAAAAAAAAATGACCATTGGCCATTTATTAACACAGGCCACACATAAATACAATCAACATTCTATTTATTTCTTGTTGTTGTTTTTTTTGTTTTACCGATTTTATTATTATGTTTGTTGTTTTCAACAATGAATGAAGCTTTATTAAGCTTATTATTTTGTTTTTTTCAACAGTAATTGGCAATGATGATTCAATTTAATCTGATGTGATACCCGTTTTCATTTCAGATTTATTTTCGATTTTTTTTCTCTATTATCAAACAAACAAACAAACAAACAAAATCTGGTCAACATTTGTGTGGTTTGTTTGGTTGCCGTTTTTTTTTTTTTGTTTTTGGTAAAAAACGTGATGATGATGATGATGATGATGATGAATCAAATTAATGCTATTACACAATTTTGCTGGAATGGATATAAATACAAAATTTCTGATGAATATATAAAAAAAAATCTCCATTGATGTTCACTGAAATCTTGTTGTTGTTGTTGTTGATGATTTTTTTTTCTAGCAGAATGTTTTTGTCTGATAAAAAACACAACTGAGTGGAGAAAGAAAAAGTTGAAACTGAAAATTTTTTTTTTTTCTGTTGAAAAAAATCGTTTTTAAGCTTTCCAGATAATAGTCTCTTCAACTATATATATATATAGTGACACAAGTATGTATTGAACACTTTTGATATATTCGTTTGAATCGAATCGTAGCTCATTCAAAGACAAGTTTGTTTGATTTTCTTATCCAATTTGCTTAATTCATCGTTTGTAAAAGTTTATTTATTTATTTTTTGAGAGAGAGATAGAGAAAGAGAATCGTGAAAACATCAGAACTTCAATTCCGCACTTTTTTTTCTATCTTCCCGATCTTGATGATAAATTAAATTCAAGTTTCATCAAGAAAAGAATCAAATGAAAATTGTGGAATTTATCAAAATCAAGAAAAAAAATTATTATTATTCAAAAATTAAACATTACACAATTCTGTATAATAAAAAAAATTCTGTTTTTTTTCTAATGTTCACTAGAATTTGAGATTCTTCAATTCGATTGTACGTTGTTTGTTTGTTTGTTTGTTTGTTTGCTGATCCAAGCGTATTTGTAGATTGATTTCATATTTATCGTTCAACTGAAATTTCAAGTTTCGAGAGAAAAAAAAAAAATAATGGAATGAAAAACAAGTAAAATAAAAGGAATCCAAACTTGGACCATCATCTAAAAAACAAATGAACCGAAAATCGAGAAATATTCATTCAATTGAAATCTATTATATTATCATTATTATTAGATTCGATCTTTGTGAAAAAAAATGTGATGATGATTCTTATTATTATTATTAAAAAACAACAACAACAAATACCAAAATGAGAAATGAAAATGGATCCAAATTCTAGCTTGATGTTTATTTGTTTTTTTTTCATTCCATTTTTATCATTATTATTATCATCATCATCGTCATTATTAATATTCACGTCATAGTCATGATAAAAGAATGAGAAAAAGAGAAAGAGAGAGAGAATGGAAAAATATTTGAAATTCATTCACTACATTCATGTTTTCATAATTTCAATTCCATTCATATATATGATATTCTTTTGGATTGCAAGAAAAAACAACAAAAAAATTATTTGTATTCTCATTCAATCAGAATATTTATTTATTGATTCTACTTTGATACCATCTTGATTATTATTATTATTATTATTGGTCATCATGATTCATCATCATCATCATCATCATCTTTATGAATATAATGGAATTATATATATTAATATTAATAATGAAATGAAAAAAAAACTATAAATTACATTTGATTCTTGATGGCCAAAAAAAAAAAAACAACAGAAAAAATAATAAGAATCTGAGCGAGAATTTTTTTTACCATTAAACTTTATAATGATAATGAATATTATTATTATTACTCAATGGCCATTCAATGAGTATGAGGATTGCTAATTCCAATGAATTTTCTGTTCATCATCATTTTGATTCATATATGTTTACGTTTATTTTGTTATTGTTATGACAATTTTTTTTCGATCACAAAATAAATTATCCAAGTGTCTCGATTATTCTTGATTCATTGATGAATGTTTTTTTTTCTTTGCAGAATGATGGAAAAATTTATGAAATTCAAAATTTGCAAAAATAAATCGCATCTTAAATTCAATTCAATGATTTGACAGTATATGACACTTGAAAGAAATGAATAAAAAAAAATTTCATATGGTTGATTGTTTCTGTTGTTGTTGTTGTTGTTGTTTTCATACTCAAAATTCCAGTTGAATGGATCGCAACAGCTTTTTTGTGTTGCTGATTCTGAATATTTTTTTTCTGTTCCCTTGATCATATGATGATGTAAATAAATGCTTGATTTGATTTTCAAAATTTCCATATTTCCACCATTGATAAACACAAAATTCATGTTTTTTTTTTTTTTTGGTTACTATGATGATTTCTTTTTCCCGATTTTATTAAGAATTTTGAATCGGTAAAATTTCATCATTCATAAGAATGATTTGATTCGGGAAAACAACTTGGATTTTTTTTGTCTGTTTTGATCCACCGATACTACCAGCACCGCTGTATGACTCAAACAATATGAATTCAGAACAAATATGACAGCAGGTTCATATCCATAAGCAGGTTGAATTTTTTTTCTGTTCATTTTTTTTCTTTGTTTCATAGTCTATCATACACACACACACACACACACACACGAACATATTACATAACCAATGTGAAAATGATGAAAAAAAAACTGTAGCACCTGGCTATACATTATTTTTTTCACATTGATATGATCATCAGTAGAAAAAAATAATCATAAAAATTCTATTTTAATGTGTGTTGAGTATGTGTGTGTGTGTGTGCGCTAGTGTAGATATCATAAAACCCCAATCAATCATCATCGAAAACCATGCTCCATTCTAAAAACGTATGACGTGATCTATAGATTTACATTCAAGGAGAAACAAAAATTTTTTTTTCCATCATATTCTCGGTATGATGATGAAATTCGAATTATTACCTTGTAAAGCTAAAATTTGTGTTCACCAATAAAAATGAGTAAATCAAAAAGCAATTAACAGATCAAAGTTCCAATGGAATGCAAAAACAAAAAGAACAAAAAAAATAGACAAAAAAAGAATCATGATTTTCAGTTTCTCGTTGAAAAATACGAGAAAAAAAACTCATTTCGAGAAGAAATAAAAAAAAAAATTTTTGGACCACACACTAATTAAGGTGAAACAAGAATAATAAAAAATGTAAATTTCAAACAACTGGTTTGTTCATTTTCTTTTTGCTCTCACTCGCAAACATTCACACATACAAAATGACAATGTGTGTGTGTGTGTGTGTGTGTGTAGTTTGGTTATTTGGTGCAAATTTTCATCGCCAAAATTATGATGATGATGATGGTGATGATAAACATTTGAGTCGTATTCAACTTTTGTTTTTTTGTGATAATTTTATTCCATGAAAATAGCAATCAGGATGCCAAATGAACTTTGATTAAACTTTCAAAAAAAAAAAAAAAAAAAGAAGAAGAGAAATCTAATGAGAAAAAAAAATGAAAATAACAACAAACGAAACAAGAATAATGCATGAGTCAGCGTGTATGGCAAAAAAAGAGAGAGAGAGAATGCAATTCTAAAGAGAAGACTTGAATTACATTAATGATAAATTGGGGAATAAAATGGAAAAAAATAGATGAAAATCAAAAAACGACGAATATTTAATCAATGAAGTGAAAAAAAAACACTTGAATTCGAAATGAATTATAAAATGAAAATTGGAAATGGATTGATTGGAAAAATTTTTTTTTTTTTTTTGGTAGCTTGTTTACAATATAGAATCAAAAATAACTAATCAAGAATGTTTGAATGTTTATTGAAATCATAATAATATTCTTCGATTGGTTGGGTCAGTGATTTTTTGATGACAAAAAAAAAAAATGACGATGATGATGATAATTTGAATGGAAATGGAAAAAATATTCCAAGAAAAAATTGATCATCATCTTGACTATATAGTGTATAGTCAAAACGCTTTGGTCAACATTTTTCATTTTCATTTTCATTGAAAAAGTTTTATTATTAATTATTTTCAATAGAAAATTTTGATTCATCAAAAAAAAAAAAAAATGGAAAATTCTTTTACCCTACGGGCTTTTTTGTTATCAATGAAATGATTTTCATTTTATCATCATTGGTGTTTGTGTTCTGTCCATTATTATTATTATTATGATGTCCATTGGCCTGGCAGCTGGGATACTACTTTGTTTGTTTATTTTCCAAATTGAATATACTTTTAGATAGTTTTAGATAATAATAATAATAATGACTACCGTGTGTATTTTTTTCTAGTCAGTTTTCACATCTATTTTAGCTATGTTTTTATTTATATGAAAATTTATAGTGATATCACACTATACAAATGATTATTAGTGAAGATTCTCATTCTACATACATACAGTGAAATGGATATATAACAAGATTTAATTAAATTAACAGCTATATCGTTTGTGTTATTATTCCCTAATGATAATAATGATGATGATGATGTTCATCTTGTGAGCGGATAGAAAAAAAAACAATCCAAAGACTTTTGGGATTGTTTTTTTTCCACTTTTTCATCCATCTATATTTTTTTTTTTTTTTTTTGGTTTTGATATGATGGATAGATGTGTTTGAAATATGAAACCAAGTGTTGGAATTTAAACACACACACACACACAAACAGTGCGATGATCCACATTCATCAAAGTTATTTACACAAACACACACACACACACATAATAATATGATATTCGTGACATTTTTTGTTTATTGGATTAATTCTTTTTTTTTTATTCTTCTTGGTTTTGGTATTCATTTATAAATAATGTAAGTCATCATCATCATCATTATCATTAACCATGATGAATCATGAATGTGGGTGTGGGTGTGGTTATGTGTGGTTGATTATGAAATGAAATTCAGTTTTTTAATCTTATTTTTTTTTTGCTTTCTTTTGTTTATTTTCTTAAAAAAAAAATAGATATCTAGCCATCGTACATCCATTACGACCACGTATGTCTCGTACAGCAACCGTTATTATTATCGTCATCATATGGATTGCAAGCAGTTTTCTATCATTACCAAATATTATTTGTTCAAAAACAATTGTTGAAGAATTTAAAAATGGTGATACTAGAGGTAAATGAAATATAATAAAATAATAATGATGATGATGACTACTTACAATTTACACCACAAATTTCTAGTCTTAGCATAATGAATTATTATGAGTCTAAAAAAACGAGATTCACACACACACACACATACACACACAGACGCATCTAATGTGTATCACAATAATAAATCAAACTAAAACTTTAGTTAGTATTTAGTATAAAAGTTTTAAATTACTAATTATTCCATTTCAACGTTTTTTTATACTCATTTACACCCAGACGCACACACACACACACACGCAGACACATTAAATAATCACATTTTTCAACACAATAATAATACTAATTCAATTACTAAATTAATTTTAATTATGTATGATGATGATATTCACGTCGTTTTTTTTTCATTCGGGCAATGGCTGATTACCATCGACCATATATATATATTATTATACTTGAATTGTAAATTTTTATATCATCATCATCATCATCATCAATGAAACCTGGACTAAAACAAACAAACGATCAAATGAATGAAAATAATCAACTTTAACCTCAAAGTTGTATGCTATCTTGAATGGTATGATGGTGTTTCAACAAAATCTCGTATCGAATATATGTAAGTATTGAATAAATCATAAAGAATCCTAAAGACAAACACACGAATGCTGTTTTTTTTTGTTCTTATTTCCTGTTTTTTTGATCCTATTTTTCTTTGTGCTCTTTTCATGAAAATATTTTCCAAGAATCTAATAAAAAAGGCATTATATTCAGTGAGAGTTTTAAAGAGATTTAAAATTCTCATTTTTTTTCTGTTCGTTTCGTTTCGATGTATAGGTTTTAACATGAATGAAATGAAAAAGGATTTAGAATCGAAATTAACAAGATCAAGAAATAGAAATAGCAAAAAGAAAAGGAATCCTGAATTTCATTTTTATTTCATTCATTTTTTTTACTTTTTCTTTTTGTGTTTTACACGATTCATGATGATTAATTTTGACCATCATGATCATCATGATGATCTGTTTGTATTATGCCCAAAACAAACACAGAATTTTCATGTTCAGCCAATATTTATGATGTTTATTCTTTTAGCGTGATCGTAATTTTTTTTTATTTGTTTTTGTTTGTTGACAACTAACTGTAAATTCTTTCAACAATTTCATTCATTTATCAATCATAAATTCTTTGTGTTTAAATACTAGAATAATGGCTGTAAGAGAGAGTTTCAAGTGTTTTTAGTGGATAGATTTTTAGGTTATTTCTTCACATTTATTTTTCTTGAAAAAAAAAGTTTTAAATTTTCCAAAGAATGAAAACAAAAATGCAAAATAAATACAAAACGAGAAGAAAATTTTCTGTAATGTGTGTGTGCGTGTGTGTGTGTGTGTTGATGTTCAAGTTTAGTTGCCATGATGATTAATTTTGAAAAGATCTTTTATTCTTTTTGTTTATTTGTTTTCGTATCGATCAATCGTCAAGTGTTTTTAGTGGATAGATTTTTAGGTTATTTCTTCACATTTATTTTTCTTGAGATTTTTCAATATGGAAAAAAAAAAAAGTTTTAAATTTTCCAAAGAATGAAAACAAAATGCAAAATAAATACAAAACGAGAATTATCTTCTGACTGATGATTCTATTTGTGGCCAAAGAAAAAAAAAATAGATGATGATGATGATGATTGGCTACGATAGAAAAATACGTCAATTGTTTTGTTTGATTTTTATCTTTACTCGTTTTTTTTGGGGAGGCAAAAAAAAGTTTCGATTGTTATCGGAAAAATTTACCCGAAATTGTCGGTTTATCTATTTATATGTATCGATCATTCTGCAAAAAGAACACACGATTTTTGAAACATTTGAAAACTTTGAAACTTTTTTTTGTTCTCTAATTACAATTGTAATTGAAAATTTCTTATTGCATCGTATCCATCATCATCATCATCATAATTAGGATTCAAGAAAATGATGCTTGAAGGACGAAAAAAAAATCTATACCACCAAAAACAACAATAAACAGCAACAGGCTAAATAATAAGCACAGATTTTTCTGACTTTAACTTTATTTTAGCAACTTGTGATCAAACAAACAACCAAATGATGATGGAATTCATTGTTTCATAAATTTTTGTTTTTATCATGAAAAAAAAAAACAAAACAAAAACAAAAATGAATAGTTTCCTTTCATTATCATCACGGTATTCATATTGAAATCTATTTTAATACCATAACACACACACACACCGAGACTGAGAGAGAATTAGAAAAAAAATAGTAAAATCAGTTATTCAAAAAAAAAAAAAAAAAAAAATTCTTGTGTGCCGGATGTTGCAGCAGCAGCAGCCGCCATATAAAGTACTTATATTAATACATGATGAAATGTTTTCCAGAAACAAAACAAAACAAAAAAAAAAAGTATCAGTAATCAACATATCATGAATCATTGAAGTACAGTGCACACACACACACACACACATAAATTGGGCTCAGAATGAAGAGAAAAAAAAATAGAAAATGAATAAATGAATAAACAATGAAAAATAGCCTGGCTGCCTGGCTGAATATAGTTAACCTAAAAATAGATCCCAGATATTAGATAATGAATGTGCATGTGTGTGCATCAAAAATCCAAAACAAAAAAAAAAAATAAATAAATAAGAAACAAGAGAAAAAAAATGGACAATTCGAACCATATGTGTGTGTGTGTGTGTGTGAATGGTTTTTTTTAATTTTGCTTTGTTTTGGCCCGGAACTTATCCAAAAGAATCATCATCATCATCATCATATAGATTAAATTATATTGAAGCTTTTTTTTTTTTTTTTTTGTTGTTGTTCAATGTAAATTAATCCACAGTTTTTTGGTCCTTTTTTTTCACTTGAATGTTTGTTATTTTTTTTGTTGTTGTTGTTTTTCGTGATTAAACCATGAAAGGCGTTATGTTATTCTGGCATGTATCATGATGACTGAATCACACCCACACAGAGAGAGAGAGAGAGAGAGTGTTGTTCTGGTAAATTTTTTTTTCTTCACGCCTTTCACTTTTTTTTTTGAGTAGCGGCTGTTTTTTGTTTGAATTTTTTTTTACTTGATCAATGTATGCGTGTGTGTGTGTGTTATTACATCATCATCAAGTGTATGGCTTTTGATTTTGTGTGTGTGTGTGATGACGATGATGATGAAAAAGTTTTGTTCGTAATATTATCCATCGGACATCATCATTTTGATTCGATGAAAGATGGAATGGATTTTTCTTTTTGTTGTTGTTGTTGTTTCTGCTTTTTTTTTTTTTTCTGTTCATTTCAATCATGTCTTTGGTCATTTTTTTTTTTTTTTTTTTCCCCATAGCTATCATCATTATTATTATATATTTTTTTTTTCGTTTCCACTCTGTGGTCATAAGTTTTCTTAATCTTACGGTCAATGCTGCTGCTGTTATTGTTGTTGTTGTTATTTGTAACGGCTGTTGATGCCTGATTTGATGTTTCGGATATATTATTTTGACACATTCACCAGAATCCAAATGAAGTGTGTGTGTGTGTGTGTGTGTGTGTGAAGGACTTTTTGTATTCAACACGATAACATAAGTAGTTTTAGTTGTGATAATTCTGCAAAGTATGTGTGTGTGACCAGTTTGCCAAGATTGATCACACTTGATTACGTTACCAATTCGTTCTTTTTTCATTCATTTTTTGTTTTACGTAACATCTTCTTCAGTCATCATAATAGTTTTTGAACTAAATATAGCAAAAAGAGAAAAAAAAATTCATGATAGAATAAACTAGTTAGTTCCGGTCCAAAGATAATCGGTGCACATTTTTTTTTCTTTTTTCCTTTTTTTTATTTAAAGTTTTTGGGCCATTTTTTTTTACTTTGACGACAAAAAAATTAAGTAAGCGAAATTTCCGATTCTGATAAATTCTTATCTTATTATGCAATATTTATGCTGTGAATTCTTGGTAACAGAATTCAGAACTTTGAACTTTTGATTGGAATTAGTAAGGAAAAAATTCCAGATAAACAGAATAAATCAATGGGCAATGACATTTCGTGGAAATATTAGAGAAAAAGTGTTTTTTTTGCTGGCTTAAATTTTAAAAATGTAAACATCAAAATTCATCGAAGATTTGATCATTTAAAATAATGATTATATGTTAGAAATTTGATCCACCATATGAAATATTATATCATTGTATAAAAAAATTTGTACAAAATAAAAACTGTTAATGCGTTCGCGTGTGCCAGTGTTTGTCATTCAATTTTTTTTTCATTTTAAAAATTCAATTACACTTGATCAATTTTAAATTGTAATTATTATTATAATCCGATTTTTCTTTCCATTTTCCCCTTATTTTTATCATTGTTTCAAATGAAACAAACAAACAAACAAACAAACAAATTTTAATCCAGATACAATGTGATTATAACATTGGTCACTTATATTCTGCCAATTGCATCAATGTCTTATACATATTTTCGTGTTGGCCGTGAATTATGGGGCAGCCAAAGTATTGGTGAATGTACAGCCAAACAAATGGAAAGTATCAAATCAAAACGTAAAGTATAGAAATTTGATGTTGTACAAAATAAAACTGTTAATGCGTTCGCGTGTGCCAGTGTTTGTTTGTTTGTTTGTTTCATTCTGTGTATTTGTTTGTTTGTTTGTTTCATTCTGTGTATTTGTCATATTTTGTTGTTTTTTTAATACGATTATTATTACCACTTTTTTTATTATTTTTTTTCCATTTATTTTATCATCAAAAAAAAAAAAAATCTTGTTATCCATGTTTATGGTTTATTTGTGTCAACTTTATTAATGGCAAAATGCATCAACCACAATACTGATGATGATGACAAAAAACGGCCGGAATTCAATGACAAATACATATATATATATGATTATAGATTGTCAAAATGATGATGATCGTCGTTGCCATATTTGGGGTAATTGGATTATAAGTTGTTTTTTTCAATATTAGCATTATTTTACTTGGTTATGTTTTGTTTCCGGCTGACCAGTTTAGTCGTACATAAATTATTTGAGTATTGTTTGTTGTTGTTGTTGTTGTTGTTTTTTCCACTTGTCAAACATTGTTTATTTGAATTTTGTGGTTAATAATTAATTCCCGATTTTTTTTCGTTTCGTATAGGTTTGTTGGGCACCATATCACATTTATTTTCTACTTGCTCATCATTATCCACAAATCATTAATGCAAAATATGTACAACATACATATTTAACTATTTATTGGTTAGCAATGTCCAATAGTGTATATAATCCATTTGTTTATTGTTGGATGAATTCAAGGTAATAATTTCAAAATTTTAACACATTCACTATTCATTGATTGCTTGTTTGAATTATATTTCTTTAATTATGATTGTTTTTTCTCCCTTTCCACCACCCCCACACCGCTCACACATTATAACAAAAATACAGATTTCGACAAGGATTTCGAAATGTATTTTGTTGTACATGTTTTCAAAAGAATGGAAAATCAGGTCAACGTTTTCATCATTATTATAATCGTCATCGTCATCATAATAATAATAATAATAATCCGGATTTTAATACATTACAAGATCGTTATCATGGTCAAACTCGTTATAGTTGTGCATCTGAAGCATGTATAACCACCGATACACGTGTACGTTTTAATGGTAATGGAAATATTACATTACAACCGACAACAATAATGGATATAACAACAACTATAATGGATGATAATGATGATGATGATAGACCAAATAATAGTTTACATCATAGTTGTTTATCATCTACAACTGCAAATGTATTGGTTGATGATAGTAGTAGTTGTATTGGTATTGGCTCAGCAGCAACAGCAGCAGCAACGGCAACAACAACAACAACAACAACAACAACAGCAACAACAACAACAACAACAACAATGATTACTAGCCATCATCAGAATCCGAATAACAGCAACAGTCCATTACAGCAACAATCAAATATTCAATTTTCATCACGTGAAATGTTATGATATTCAACCACAACAACAACAACAGAATAAGATACTTTAGTAAGAAAAAGAATTAAAAACGCCAAACTAAAAATAGAATATTCTTTACATTGAGGCTATCTCAAAGGGAAAAAAAGGAAATGGTAAAATTGAAAAAAAAAAAAAAAAAAAAAAATGCATTTATTCCCCACTCCACACCCCTCTTTGTTCAATTACATTACATTTAATTTTTACGCTTAATATTCATCATATATAATAATAATTCTATTCTATATTTGAGCTTTCCAAAGTTTCTCCACCACCATCATCATCATCATCATCATCATCATCATTCTTTATTTCATTGATCATTGATAACTTTTTCATATCTTTTTCATCAATGCCTCTTCTTCTTCTTCTTCTAACTAAACAAAATAAAACCATTTTTACATTATTTATTATTATTATTCAATTGAATCTCTTTAATACATACAAACCATACACATAATCAATAATGGACACTAAAAAAAAAACCATCACTCATTTGACATACGCACACATACACACACACACACAGAAAAAATTTTCAAATACCGGCGCTTCTTTTTAGAATTTCCCTCTCTCTCTCTCTCTTTCTATATATTGTATTGTAATGTATGTATTTTATAAATAAAAATATGAAAAAAAAAATTGGATCGGAACATCTCTGAGTATATATGGAATAAAGCTTGAATTTTTTTTTTTTTTTTTTTTGCTTTTCATGTTGCTCTATGGAAATTTTTTCTTTTTCATTCTTTCACATACCCAAGAGAGAGAAAAAAAAACCGGATGAAAAACTAAATGGCCTCTATTGCGATGCTTGTGTGTGTGTGTGTGTCAGTGTGGCATAAAAGAAATTGAATCTGAAATTTTTTTGCATACGTTAACCACATATCATCATTCAAATATCAATGACAAACGCACAACTCATTTTGGTATATTGAAAGAAAAAAAAAATGAATGAATGAAAATTTTTTTTTTCAATAATAAATAAATAAATAAAAAGCTAGTAAAATGAATTATTTTTATTTTTTTTTTTGTTTACAAAAATAAAATTTAAAAAAAACGAATAAAATTGAATTGTCAATGTTGTTGTTTGTTGTTGAAATTCAAATCAAATTCGTTGAGAATTTGATTCATTATCACATGATCATCATTTTCATTTCTATATCTGTAAAATTTGATCATTGAAAATTATTTATATTGCTGCTGTATGGAGATAATGAATGCTTTTTGTTGCCGATCCAAAAAAAAAAAAAAAAAATTTTGCAACAAATTACATTACCATTATCATTATTCAACAGAGAATGAATGAATGAATGAATTGACCAGCAACATCAAATGCAGTGCATACACACACACACACACACATCAATATGTATGTGCAACAAAATATTGTCATACAGACACGTATACGTAATTGAAAAACTAACGAGACCAAAAAAAATTAAAAAATCCATTAGATGCACACCCAAATAATATTTCCAAAAAAAAATGATTAAACACTCTTCTTTTCTAGTCATATTTCATAACTATATTCGGTTCATTTGTTTTTTTTTTTTTTGGCCGGTTTTGTTACTCGCTCATCCACAATATTGAAATTTTTTTTTGTTTTATAAATTCCGGTAGTGAAGCTGAGAAAAAAAAATACCGAACCATGTATACATAATGAGCATACAAAAGAATTTCATCAGAAGCCTATTATTCCTTCATGGAATAATTTCCGTCTTTAAAGGGAAAAAAATTTGTCAGTTTGTTCAGTTGGTTTGTTTGTTTGTTTGTTTTCCAGAGTTTTGGATCATCATCATACTATGATCATACCATATCCATATGAATTGAACCGATATGACCAAAAAATTCAAGATTTTCAATTTTTCAATTTTAAATTTTTACACTTTTTTTTCTTACTCTTCCACTATATCTTTCATATTGTCATCGGATGTAAACAAAAACTATCAATTCTGATTGTGAATTTGTAAGTTTCTCTTTTTCTCTCTCTCTTTCAACTTGTTTGTGACAGTGAAAAATGTCTTATGAAACAAACAAAAAAAAAACTGGTAACAAACTTGATTAAATGTTGTTGTTGTCGTCGTTACTGCTGCTCTTACAATGAAGAAAAAAAATTGTCAACAATGAAAAAAAAATCAATTTTTTTCTGCTTTCCTTTTCTGATATTACTTGATTCAAGTCTTGTTTCTTGATTCTGATTCTGATCGGAAGAAAAAACCAGAATCTTATCTTCACCACTATCTTGGTCCATGAGAATGAATATCAAATGATTGAAATTTTTAGTTTTAGTTTCAGTTTCTTTTCCAGTGGTTAGTCTAATTTTTATCGATTACTACTTAATCGAAAACAATAAATCGATAATGACAAAAAAAAACGATTGTTTTAAGGATAAATGAATTGATTGAATCAAAATACAATTGAAACATTGTTTGATATTGCTATTTAATTTCATTTGATCTCAAAACCAGATGACCGGAATGAAGAATGAACATAGATTGAATAAAATACATTTCAACGACATATATCATTGTCAATGTATGTTGTCCAATTACGGTGTAACATTGTTTTTATTTTGGTTTTTTTTTATTCGTCATTCTTCAACAACAATTTGATAATTAACATTACGTTGTGTAAAAATCCATTATCAAAATGGTGACAATGCTGTTTTTTTTTTTAATTTTTCTTACTCACAATCATTATTGTTGCTAATTATGTGTGCACACACACACACACACACAGGCACAATGAATTCATGTTTGAATTTGACCGATGGTCAACGATTTTGAATGATTTTTTTTCTCATTCTGTATTTGAGATCGTCAATAATATTCTGTTTTTAACATTGGACACTGGCAAACAAAAAAATTTATTTAATGTATTTCTGGAACACACACACATAAAACACAAACACATCAAACGAACATCATCAAACAAAATCGGTATAATGGAAAATATAATTTTAACATATGGTACTCTTGGGGGTATAAATTGAAATCAAGTAAATTTTTTCCTCCTTACGTGCGTGTGTGTGTGTTGATATCATCACCATCAATAACCCGGATATCAAACAAACAAAAAAAAACGACAAAATATCGAATATTTGTCCACATTGACCATGATTTTTTTATTTTCATTTCTTATTTTTTTTTCTTATCGTTATCATTGTTTTTGTATTGATTTTCGATGTACTTTTTTTTCTTGCAAAAAAAAAAAAAAAAAATGACAAATAGTTTGTTTGACAATTTTCTTTTTCTATTTTTTCAAGCCGGTTTTTTTTTCATCTCTCAATGACCGTAAATCAAAATATCAATTTCCATTATCCATAAGAAAAACAGAAAACGGAATTCAATTCGTTAATTCCATTATTATTTAGATAAACAAAGAACAAAAAAAATAAAAAATAGAAAATCTGCTTAGATAGCAGAAAAAAAACTATAAATTCTTTACGATTATGATACATAATGGTCAATATTACGTACATTGGAGTGGTAGTATTAGTGATAACAATAATAACCGGTCCAGAATATATTTTTTTCTATTCATTCATTCATTCTTCATTTTTAGATTAGCAAGAATCTGCAAGAAAAATGATTTCAAATTCAAAATTTAATTTATTTTTTTTTCGGTAAAAATTCTGAAATAAATCTATCATTAAGTGACTCTATGTAGTAAGAATGAAACCAAAAAAAAAAAAATAAGAATAAGAATAAGTGGGTGGATAATCCAAAAGTATGATGACTGAGATTGAAAAAAAACTTTTTCTTTTTTGCATTGCATCAATGTTAATATAATTCTTACAAGCTTATTATACAAAAAAAAAAATTTTGAAATAGTGAATATTCGTGCTGGACTACGAACCAGAATGTTTTGCAAAAAAAGTTCAGAGATTTTTTTTCGTTCGTTCATTCGTTCTGTTGTTATTATTATTCCATATTATTCACCTTGAACATTTTCAGAGTTAATTTTCTTCCATTTTTCTCTTCATTCATTCATCCAGCTTATTATTATCTGGATAAAATTTTTTTTTTCACTGCACGAAAAAAGTATTTTCAAGCCTTTTTTTTGAGTGAAATGAACAAAAACAAGAGAGAGAGAGAGAAAATAAAAATAAAATAAAATCTTGACGTCGAAATCCCATCATCATCATCATCATCATCAACATCGTTTCAAGAATTGAGTCAGTTCTATTTTTATTCTTTTTCTCTCTGATTTTAAAGTCGAATTGTAGAAAAAAAATGAATTATTTGAGAATGAAAATTTGAAATTTTTTTTTTTGTTTCATGTTCATCCTCATTTTTTTTCTCATTTGCCCTGTGCCTTTGTTTGAATGTTCATTTTTTTTTCTCTATACCCAATGTTATTTTCTCATATTGTTGTTTTGAAATTTCAAAAGAATTTACTGAAGGAAAAAATGGAAAAAATCCTTTATTTTTTCTAGTGTGTCCGTGTTGGTGTTACAATGATTGTCACCAGTAAAAATGAATGAAATAAAGAATACAAAAAAAATACAGATGAAATACATGAATGCGACAATTTGTATTTTGATAACATTGAATTCCATAATTTATCATTATCATTTAGATTTGTGCTTGGCAACCACATTTGTATTGTATATCTGAATTGATGGTGATTATCATTCATTGATAATAATAATAATCGATATATGGACAACATTTTCCAACACAAAATCATCACGCGTTAATTTTTTATTTTTATTAAACGATTTGATCAGGATTTTTAAGCCATTTTCAATTGTATTTTTGTCAATATATATAAATTATTGGCTAATGATTTAATGAATTTGTAACCGAATGAATGGAAAATGAAAAAAACACACACACACACACAATGACGTAATGGTGTGCAGAGAACAATAAAATTTCACTGGTTTCTATATTATTATTAGCCATCATTTTGAGATAATAGAAACATATACACACACACACACCCATACACTGAGTGAAAGAATGTGAAATGAAATGAAAACTAAATTTTTGGATTCGAATCTTGTTCCATTTTGTTGTCGTTGTTGTTATTTTTTTTTTTTGCTCTGTCCTACTGGCTGACTGGCTGATGGATACAAATTCAATTATGATAAATCTTTATCGATAGATGTGCAACGCAAACTTTTTTTTTTTGCAATTTGATTCACTAAGTGATGATGATGATGATGATGAACAATGATTTTTTTAAGGATTTTTTTTTCTTGTGAGTGATTCCATAATTAATTAACCAGAATGATGATGAAAGTGTGTGTGTGTGAAAAAAAAATCATAATTCATAATTCATTGTTGCTCAACATCATCATCATGGATCATATTTCATTGTGATAAAATATACGTATTTTCATCATATGTCATCCATCTGATAATGATGACAAAATGGCTGATAGCGGCGCACCAATCGAATGATTTGATCGATAAAATACGATATATATAATTTTTTTTTATTCATAGAAAAATTTCTGTATTTTTTTTTTATCATTACAAGACATTGAATGACGAATGAAATGAAAAGAAAACAAATACATTATTATGATGATGAGAATGATTCTTGATTCTATTCATTCATAATTTATTGCAAAAAAAAAAAAAATAACCATTATTTGTTGTGATGAGAAAAATGAGATTTTTTTTTTTTTTTTTTTGATGAAAAGAAAAATCACTTTTGATTCAGGTTTTTTTTTCTTTTATTCTTTGACCTGTTTGCTTGTTTGTTTTTTGTTTGTTAATATTTCATACATTTGTTACATCAAAGAAAAAAAAACATGACCACTATTCTTTACCCGGAGGCTGACCAATACAAGAATAATAATGTAAATTTGAAATTCTTTGCACATACACAAATATGGATATTTGGCCAAACTATTCATATGTTTGGTATGCCAAAAACTGTCACATTTCATTTTTTTCATTTGGAAACAAAATGCCTATTATATTTGAATTTGGTTTACGTATCCTATGATCTTTTCAATCGATAAACACACACACACACACACACGATATACAGAACAAATTGGCAAGCTTCTAAATTCTTATTTATTTTCTGGCAATTCTTTAAATTATAACGATATTCTTGGAACAGAACATAATAATAATAATGATGGTATATTCAAACGTATAATAAACAACAACAAGCCAATGTTCATCAAGAATGATGTTACTAGATTAAATTTTTCTTTCTTCACTAAACAAAAAAACATCGTGTTGGATATGTTGTTGTTTATAAAGTTAGAAACAATATCCAAAAATTTGATAACTTTTTAAACTTTTTTCTTTCGCAGTTGTTGCTGTTGTTGTCGACGACGACGACGATGATGATGATCTATCTTGATGGCTCCATAATGTATTTATGATATATTTATCGATTATTTTTATCATCATCATCTCCGCTAAAAAAAAAATAAAAATATTCTACACATCAAAGAACCAAAATGGTCACATAGATAGAAAAAAAAAAAAAAAATTTTCAGGATTTTTTCAGATTCAAGTAAAAACTTTTTCTTCTTCTTTTTTTTTGAAAGTTAACTTTAAATAGGCTTTACGTGGACATTATCATTTTACTCTATGATCATCATCATCATCATCATCATCAATATGTTTCACACTTTCTATGGTGTGTGTGTGTGTGTGTGTGATGATGGTAAACACGGGCAATATTTTCAGTATGAAATATTTATCTGTACCAAAAAAATGAACAACAACAACAACAAAATTCTGGCAACTAGAGAATATAAAAAAATTTTTTTCATCATTTCTTATGTTCAATTTTTTTAAGATTATTATTGCAACGACTAGACACACACACACACACACAAACACGCACACATTTTATTATACTTGAAAATGTTTGCTCATTTGATTGTCAATATATCTCACTCTTTTTTTTCTGCAGATATCTAATTTTCAATATCGAATATATTCGAGTAGTATTTCCATCTTTCTTTATCTCAACTCTCTCTATCTCTCTCTCTCTCTTTCTTTAGCTCTCGATTCTCTCATTTCCATTCCAACCACATACCATTCGAAAAAAGGCAAACAGCCAGACAAATAAGAAAGAACAAAAAAAAAAATCTTCGCCCTTTTTTTTATTGTTGTTGATTGTTGTCATCATCATCATCATCATCATCATCCTCTGTGATAGTCTAAAGGAAAAAAAAAATTTGTGCTTGTCTTCGGATTTGTTCCGTTTTGGATCAGCTTTTTTTTATTATCATGAGCCTTTGGGTTTATACATCAAATATTTTTTTTTTTCGTTTTGTTTTTTTTTTTTTTTTTTTTTATCATTCATTCACATTCTCTCAATATACATTCATTGTGTTTCGGAAATAGGAATATAATAATAATAATAAGAAATGAAATGAAATAAGGATTTGAGTGTTCCAGGATAGAGAGCCAGAGAGATAGAGAGAGACGGAGAGATTGGACTTTTTATTCGTATATCACTACAATATTCTGTTTGTTGTTTCGTAGTAATTTGTTCAAGCTTGGTTTTGCTTCTTCTTGTATATGTGTGTGTGTGTGTGTGTGTGTGTGTGTGTGTGTCTTATGGATATGAAAAACAAAAAAGCTCTGAAAAGACAAACTTTGTTCTCGATTTCGTATTTTTTTTTCATTCTTTCATATATCCATATCATTAACATCATAATCATTTATATATATACCAGTTTTGTGTAATTTGTGTATATATTCTGGATTTATTTATACAAGTTTTTTCTTTTCTTCAGGACTCTCATCATAATATTTTTTTCATCTCCATTTAACGTTTATACGCATCGTTTCATTGAAAAAGAAGAAAAAAGAAGAAGAAAAGAAAAATGAATCTTGGTCACAAACAAATTGTGGTTTAGTGGGCAAAAAAAAAAACTGTCTGTCATCAATGTTCAATGAAATGATTGAAAAAAAAACAAAAACAATATGATTAGCAGGAATTTTCAGAATTTTGAATGACCGATGAATAATTTTTTGAACAACTCTACAACAACAATAATAACCGAACGGTTGGTGTAAAAAAAAATTGTCGAAAAAATGGGTAAAATAAGCGAAAAAAAAAAATATTTAAAAATTCAACTTTACAAACCAAAATTTTCAACAGAAAAAAAAATTCATTTAGTTCTCATAGGATTCGTTATTTCATTTTTTTTCTTCTTGTGTAGTCAAATACAAATGAATCTTTTTTTGGATACGGCCACTAAATAAATAACTAAACAAAACACTCATTATCACAAAGGAATATATTTTGTAAAGTTCCAGTTCATTGGATTCGAAATTCTTTGAACAATGGATTCCTATAGAGAGAGAGAGAGAATTTTTTTTTAAAAACATTATCAATATTGATGAATTGTATTTTCTCACTTTTCATTTTACGTTGAAGAAGAAAACAAAAAAAAGTAGAAAAGTTCCAAACTCATATATATACTGCATTTTTAAAGTGTAAAAGAATTTTTTTTTCTGGATTTCGGTGCAAAAATATCAACAACATATGATAGTGGCAGCAGTATCGTTTTATATATAATGTGTAAGACAGAAAAAAAACCACAATCAAAAAAAGTAAAAAACTGAATAATAAAAATCAGAAAAAAAATAAAGTTCAGCATCGAATTACGAGAAAAAAAAACTTTAAAATTCTATTGATATTGATAAATTTTTTTTTTGCTATTTAATCACCATTGGTCAAGAATAATAATGAACGAATCAACAATAACAGCAACAACAACAACAACAAAACCAAATGACATTGTGACGAGATAAGACACACACAAAGCTGAAAACTTTTTTTTTCTGTTCAAGAAAGTCAAATATAAAGAAACTGATGATTCCAATGACGTTTGATTATTTGTGTGTGCGTGTGTGTGTGTGGATAACGTCATCAATAAATTTTTTTTTTATCGAAACAAAAAAGAAAAAACAAAAATCGTTTCTAAAACTTTTCCATGGTTTCGATTATTGAAAATTGACTTTTTTTCTTTCTCTTTCAATTTTTTTTACTCATCACATCATCATCATTACACTTGTCATTATCATTGCGACAAGAAAATAAAACACGACACAACAACAGCAACAGCAACAACTGATTACTGGATTCAATTTCGTTGTTATGTTATGCGTCTCGACAACAGGAAATCAAAAAAAAAAAAAAAAATTGATTCAAGAATGAAAAAAATGAGTGCAAAAAAATCACAAGAAAAAGATCAATCACAAGTGTGTTTTAGTGCAACAAACAAACAAAAAAAAGAAGATTATTTTGTTGTTGTTGTTGTTGTTTTTTTTGAAAAACAAATACTTTTATCACATGGATACATCACATAATGCTTGTGTAGTGATGACGAATTTTTGTTTTCCATTTTCCAAAAAGAATCTGAAAAAAAATATTACATTCATCAAATGGATTCGAATGTACATTCGAATTTAATTTATAATTTGTTTTTGTTGTTGTTGTTTTCATTTCACAACATTGAATTGAATTTTTTTTTCCAAATGATGATAACCCAATGGTAACCAGAAGCGGCAGAAAAAAAAATTTTTTTATCTTTATTTTTCATTTTAGAGGAAAAGAAAAATTAAAATTCTTTCGCATCTACATCAAATGAGTGGAAATTTTTGTTTTTTTTTTGAAAAATCTGTCACTTGATATCAAAAAAAAAAAAAAAAAAAAACAGGAAAGAGAATCAATGCAAGAATGACAAAATGGTACAAAACAGAAAATTTTATCAAAAATTAGCCAAAAGAATAAAGAACAGCAGTTGATTTGAGTTGATTCGTGTGAAGAGACAAAAAAAAATGAATAAAATTCAAATATTAAAAATTTTAAGATGTGTAATATGAATCCGTAAAATGTTTCCGGTACTAATAACAATATTAATGCAAAAATATGACAATAGTTCAAGATTTTTGATCCTGGAACAATAACAATAATAACAACAACAACAACAACAACAAAACCACCATGAATTCTTTATTTTCAATGCTAGAAATGAAAGAAAAAGAAACCAAAAAATTTCGTCTAATGAAATTTAACACTCAATATGAACAACAACAACAACAAAAAAATACAAAAATTGTCATCAATTTTACACTAAATCGATCTGAATGTTTGAAGATATTGCCGTGATCATCTTAATATTACTGTTCATTTGTCCGGATAAAGATCGTTGTCGAAATGATTTATTGTCCATTTCCATTTCGATCGGCGTCTGATGATGATGATGATGATTATAATTTTTCCAATGATTATAGTTAATATACTCTTTTTTCTTTGCATCAATTTCAAATTGAATTTGATCATCACCATCAACATTATCGACGTCATCATCATCGACATCGACATCGACATCACCATCACCATCATCATAATCAATATTGGTACATAACTTTTTAATCTCATTGAATGAATAAAGAAATTCGTTCGTCATTTGTCCTTCAAGTACATCTAAATATTTTTTTTCCCATTCATTGAATAATTGTCCAAACATTTCGATCGAAATTCCTTGTTTAAATTGTTCAATAAGTAATAATAGTTCATATTTGGATGACATTATTTTTTCATTACGATTGTTGTTATTGTTTTTGTTGTTGTTGTTGTCGATTATTTCGAATTGATTACTACATTTCTGTTGTCGTTGTGGCATTTTTGTAGTTTGATCATTTGCAATTTCCAATTTGTTTTTGATGTGATCATAAGGATTCAAATTTGTCGTTTTTTCAATCATAATTTCATTATTAGATTTGGGCATGACATCAATGGTATAAGTACCGGATTTGATCGGGTTAGCCATCAATTTTTTATAATGGCCAACATTATGATTATAATGATGATGATGATCGAATCTATCGAGCTTAAATTGATGATTATATTGTTTTGAAATATTTTCAATTTCATTTTCTTGTTCGATTATAGATTGCTGCAATGTGAATGATGATGATGATGATGATATTTCATTTCCTTTTACATTTGATTCGATAAATTGTTTTTTATCCATCTCTGATACTGTTCCATAGTTGAACGATAAACAATTGACGGTCGATTTAATTGGATCATCATCAATTCTTTGATGATGATGATGAAAATTTTGGTCAATAAAGTCATTTTTGTTTGTTATTGCAGTCACTTTTTCATTTTGTTCATTGCCATCAACCATTGAAAATGTTTGCTGCTGAAATTGATTATTACCATTGTTATTGCCATTGTCATCATCATCAGAACATTGTTTCGCCATCAATTCATTACCGGAATTCAAGAACATTAAATTTGTATTGGACAAAGATTTTTGTTCGATTCTATTCATAATTTCATTGAACATTTCGACAATTTTTCGATGTTCATATTGATGAGCTAAATCAATCGGTGTCAAACCTGAACAATTACGAATTAATAATGCTTGATTTAATTGTTGTTGTTGAGTTGATTTTTTCAACAATTTCAAACATAGTTTTTCTAATCCATATACGGCACAAAAATGAAACCATGTTGGCCATTGTGTATTCGATGTTGATGTTGTACTATTTCGAATAGCTACATCGAATAAAGATGATAGATAATGATCAACTTGATCGATAGAATCGACACCAAATGTATGACATAACAATTCGTTTGGTTTCAAAGACTTGATTTTAATTGTTGCCATTTCTGCATCACTCATTCTTGTCGATGTGGTTCGAATCTGATTCCCATAATGAATCATTTGACTGCCTAGAATATGTTGTCCATTTAAAATGATGGCCATATTTAATGGAAAAGAATTCCGTGATCGATAATCGAAAAATTTATCTAAAATTTATAGATTTTTTAGTTTAATAAAATCATGATTATAATAAACATTACCAGGAATCTGTACGACAAGAATATTATTATTAATCCATTGCTTGCAAAGCCAATTGATTGTACTTTGTCCATTGATTAGAACATCAATATGATTACGATTCATTGAAAACGGCAAACATGATGATGATGATGATGATGATATTCCATAATGTTTCCAAGAAATTTTCTCATCAAAAATGATGAGAATTTTTTCATTTAACTAATAATAATCATCAGGCAAAAATAAACATGGTATTAGGGGAATAAATTTTTTTTTAAAAAAAAATCAAAAGAAATAAAGAAAATTAAAAAATAAATCTTTTGAACAAACAAAAATTCAGTTCATCGTTGGTACAAATCTATTCTTCGTTTCTGTAAATTCAAATGTTTTCATTATCACGAAATGAGAAAAAAACGACTGAAGTACAAATGCAAATTTTTTTTTCATTCCCCATTTTTCTGGATAAAGGGAAATGAAATTTTTTTTTCTCTTTTGATTTCATTTATTTTTTATTGTTGTTGTCGTTGCTGTTGGTGGTGGTGGTGGTGGTGGTAGTTGTATTTGCTTCAGAATTATCTCTTGGCATCTTGAATTTTTTTTTTAATGTATAGTTCTATAACTGGTAGAATTTTATCAAATTCATCGACAAAGTCATCAAAGAGTATTCTGGTACTGACACAGTCATTTTTCATAGAAATTATCAAAAAAAAAAAACCAGAACCCTGAATATATGGGCGTGTGTGTGTGTGATTTAGATATGTTTTGAATGAAAATAGAAAAAAAACCATTTCGACACAAATGTTGTTTTGTGTGTATACATCTGTTTTAATTTTATGAGTATCATCAGAATATTCTCTCTATATGATTTTGGATTTATTGTTAAAAAAAAAATTATTCAAATTGTATACTATCATGCTTCTATGTGCTCCAGAATAAAAAATGATATGAAACTGAAACTAATAATAATGATAATCAAATTCGTATAGATAAAAAAAAACATATTGTTGTTGTATACTATTTACCTCATTAATCTTATCTGGAAAAATTCTAAACAATGGCCATCGATATTCCAGTAACGATGCTGATGATTCGTATAAAATTTCATCATCATCATCATCATCATCATCATTATTATCATGATGATCATTATCATTCGAATGATGACATTTTTGTTGCTGTTGAATCTTTTTATGTTTTTTCTCTTCATACTGCAGCTGCCATTGGATGAATAAATTTTCATTTGATAAACGTATAGCATTGTCAATAACAATATCAATGCATGATTTTCTTTTTTCTATTTGATATTTTATCTGGTAACTGTTGGTATTGTTGTTGTTGTTGTTGTTGATATTCTTGGTGTCATTTTCATTCTTCATTTCATTATTTTTCTTGATATTAATATTGTTGGCGACAGGAATAAATGAACAACCAAAACGATATAGTTTGTATTTAATTCGAAACTTATTAATCTCATTGAATTCATCATATAATGCATATGTAATGATTTTTGCCATCGATGACCATTCTTCACGCTGCTGCTGTTGTTGTTGTTGTTGTTCATTTTTTTCTTCATGAATGAATTCTTTAATTCTATTTCGTTTGATTGTAGTGTTTTGGTCGTTGATGGTATTGTTGGTTTTATGATTATCATTCATCTTTGATTTTTTCTTTACCATTTTTCTTTTGTTTTTTTTGGTTCGTTTATTCTTCGGTACATCATTGTTAATGTTATTGTTGTTGTTGTTGTTGTTGTTATTGTTATCGATTCGATTATTAGTCATTCCGGAAATTTCGTTCACAGGTTCTATTATTAGACCATGATGTTGGCCATCATTTTCTACATTTATTTGATTATTCAATGGAGATATGTTATTATTATTCTTTGGAAGCCGGTTGTGTATAATGATATTTTTATTATTATTATTCTGGCAATAATGTAAAAAATTCAAACATTGTTCCAAATCAAACATGTCATCATTAATGTATTGAACCATTCTTGCACTTATTATTACACAAAAAAGAATATTATTATTCGATAATTGTTGACATTGACAGCGTTGATGATGATGATGATGATGATGATGATTATAATGACTATTTTGATGATATGAATTGTAATGACGATGACCATTATTTCGATATTGATCGATATTTACATTTGCATGGTTACGATTTGTAGTTTGGTTTTCATTACCTCCGCCTACTATGACACACCATCATCATCATGATCATGGTAGCTGTCATTATAAAATTCATTGTATAATTTAGACAACGTTGTCAATATATTCGATGTTGTTGTTTGTTTTTTTCGATGATAATAGATGCCATCAATATTATTATCACCATTACCATTATCATTATGGTTGTCACAATCATCTACATTGATCAATTTTGTTCGAAACATCATCATTTCATTAATCGTTGATTCTCCATTGGCGTCATCGATGATATTTTGGCCACAATAATCAAAATGTTTGATTTTTTCATTATTCAGTTCGTTGTTTTTGTTGTTGTTGTTGTTGTTGTTGTCGAGAAAATCTAATAATAATTTTGACTTTTGATATTTTAGAACTTCACCATAGTGATCATTGTCATCATGATGATGATGATGATGTTCAATATCAGTGAATTGCTGTGGAACAAACCAATCTGGATGATCATTAGCATAAAAAATAATCACCATTTTCTTCGGAATTGTTGAATCATGGTGTCCATCGATCATGTTTGAATGGTTGTGACTGCCATTTTCACAATAATCAATAGGATTCTGGTCTGTTGATAAAGTCTTGTCTTGATGAGAATCTACATTTTTTGTTATTCTCATAAAAAATTGTTTATTCCAATGTTTCAATTTAATTAATGAAGAAATGAAATGATCAAATATTTTAAAATTTTCTGATTCTCGTTTCATGATATTTCTGAAAGTAGGGAAAAAAACTAACTGGAAAAATAGATCCCGTCGATTTCACTATCTTTAATCAAATGAACGATTCAACAAAAAAATCATGAATAAAAATCTTAAAAAATAAGAATGAAATCTATTGCTTTGCTCAATCGGATCAAAGGTCAACACTATCCAATGATTTTCAAGACAATCAACATTCATATAATTGTCGTCATTGTATTTGGTCATTCGTTTTGCCGGATACAACTATGGATGATGATGATAATAACCAAAATCAGTGCTTGAACTTTGACATTGAAATACAAATACACAAAAAAAAAATTTACTGAATGAACAACACACATTTTGAATTGCTAAAATACAATTTCTTTTTTTAAAAAAATAACGATTTACATATGGCCAGTCTTTGACCATAGTGATCATTGTCATCATCCAAACACACATTTACCACTATATATCTATAAGCAGGTCACCACATGTGGCATTGAATAAATGTCATCATCATCATCATCATCATTGGGGTATACCGTTCATCTGCATCTGTTTTTGTGTTTGTGTTTGCATGTGTGTGTGTGTGACAATTAAAATACGGCCCTAGGATCTTCACGATTGAATAGTTCGAATCATATTTCTCCAAAGTGTATATGGTTCCTGTTGGTTTCTTCGTAAAAAAAAGATGTGTGTGTGTGTGTATGTGTGTGTGTATGCATAGGTTCATCATCATCATTATCATCGTCAGGATTCAATCATAATGGGGAAAACGAAAACGAAGAAAAAAAAAAAAAAAATGTCTTTAATTTTTTTTTCTTCACATTTTGCTTTTGTTTGGCTAATTCTATATATATCGCGCTTTTCTGGATCTAAATGTGTTTTTTATTTGATTATGTTATTTGGAAGTCTGTTCATTTTGTGTGTGTGTGTGTGTGTGTGTGTACCAGCCTGTAACCAGATGAGAAAAAAAACATATAATACTGGTAAAATGAAGATAAGAAGAAGAAGAAGAAAAAAATTTCATTTCACTTATATATTCTATAGAATTTTTTTTTCATCATTTACGAAATAATAAAAAAAAACCAAAAAGATTGACGAAAAAAAAAAAAAAATGAAAATTTTCCATTCACAACACACAAACCGATTGTATTGACAAACGAGAATATTCTTGAAGAAATAGGAAAAAAAACAATTAATTTTTATTCGATTTCATTTCATAATGGTCAAATATCTTGCAATGCATTTTTTTTCATAATTCAATACATCTGTTGCATACATTTCATTTCATTACTTTATGTTTTTAATGTATATATGAATTGATTGACAAAAAAATTCTTGGACACATCAGCATCATCATATACCATCTAGAGTGTTCCAGAGTAATTACACAAAGTGAACATCATTATACAACAACTACTGTATTACAGACAGTCAGAATCATTAGTGGATGGAAAAAAAAATTAAAATTAATGAACACATAGATAGATAGATCGAACGAAATTCGATTAATAGATTATTATTATTATTGGCATCATCGTGTTTTTTGTTCTGAAATCAACTTCTGATGAGTAACTGTGAAAAATTTGTAATTAAAATTTTTATTTTTTTTTTTTTGGATGAATTCGTACCCTCCTAGAATCGATAGATGATGATGAAATGAATTTTTTTGGTTGCTCAATCCACAAAACAAATATTATGGTCAATTCTATACAAGAAATGGGCAAAAAACTGAATCACGTAAATGACCAAATTAATAATATCATTATCATCATTATCATCATCGATGATGATCATTAGGGATTTATCTAATTCCTCCAACAACAACAACAAAAAAGAACTAGATATCATACATTCATCATTGAATACCATCACCACATCATTTCTTTCTTCATTTAAATATAAAAAAGATGAAAAAGAATCCATAAGAAATCATCATAATAATGGATCGATTTATTCTTTCAATGAAATACTAAACTGATGTTGTAGTTGTTGTTCTTTTTCATATTTTTTGTTCTTGAAAAAATCAATTAATCATCAATACAATGAAAAGAAACAAGAACATTTCTTGTCTTATTATAAGATCTAATAATCTAATGTTATTAGATTGGAATTTAATCAACATACAAATGTACCTTATGACATGTACATTTGTGTTTCTGTATTTGTGTGTGTTGGGTAAATCGATTTTGATTATAATTCCGTGTTTTATCATTAAATGAAAAATTTCGATAATTCAAAAATTAGCAGCAACAGTAGCAGCAGCACCACCAACAACAACTGTCGTATGGATAAATGAAAATCCATGAGATTTTTGGACATTGATGATGATGAAAAAAATTGCACTTGAATTGAATTCTTTTTTTTTATGTAAACATAGTTTTCAGAATTAGGTTTTTCAATTATTTGTTTGTTTTTATAGAATTCATTTGTTTTTTCTTCCACAAAAATTCTTCATGCATACATAGGCCATCACAGAAAAAAAATTTGAAAACCAAACATTTACGTAAACGTCAGGTGAAAAAAAAACATCTACGAAAATCCTGGTATACTGGATACTATTGGTCATTGCAAACAAATAAAAACCATTCAGGTACCATACGGGTTTAGTCAATTTTTTTTTCACATCAAACACAAATAAACAAACAAAAACTGGACTGTAAGTAAGTGGCCGACATTCAAAAATTGACTGAAAATTGAATTATATAAAAAAAACCAGAACGACCAGAATAAACGGTTTTTTTTATTATGAAAGAAAATATTTATTTTTCACTAGTTTTTTTTGTCGATTGAAAGTCTAATAAAAAAAAATTCTGTATAATAATAGATTTTGCAAACATAGATGAAAACTACAACAAAATCAATGATGGTGATGATGATGATGATGATGATGAATGGACATCCAGAGATATCAAGAATTTAGTACAATAATTACAAATAAAATGAATGAGAAAAAAAATTCAACAAATGAAATAAATAAAAAATATACAGAAAAAAAAATTCTATGATGATTGAGTGGATATTCTGGCGTTTAAATGCCAAATTTTTATCATTTCATTGCTTCCATTTGCAAAATGGTCATGATGATGATGATAATTTGATATCATTCAAACGAATTCAATTACTTTTTGAAATAATCGATTACGATTTCGAAATGATTCATGATATACTTTTTCATATAATATCAATTGATTATTGAGTACTTGTTCAGGATTTTTATCACCATTACAAATTTGTTGTAATTCTATTTCTAATTGTGCACGTAAAAATGGTTGAGTCATTTCTTGTTCAATTTCCATATATGCTTCATAAAGTCCAATACCTAAACCTTCTGGTTTCAATCGACGATCTTCCATTTGGCTAATATATTTACGATCTTTAATTTTTTCTATATGTTCAGCATGAGTGGCGTCCGTACCGATACCATATTTTTCCATCAATGCAATCAAATCCGATTCGGTTAATAGCTCCGGGGCTGTTGTACGACCATCTTTCATCAGGATAGAATTAGGATGAAAACATTCATCTTGTACAAATTGTGGTAACTGTTTCTCGCCCCAAGAATCATATTTATATACTTCTAAATAATTTTTTTCAATTATACGCAATCCTTTTGCATGAAATTTTTCCTCATTGATTTCAATATCGACCGTTTCTTCTGCACCGATAGCATCAGCCCAACAACAGGCCAAAAAATGTCTTGTTATTAATTCATATACTTTACGTTGTTCTTCATCGGTCAGATTTGTTGCCGGCTTTGTCGGATGAATGGGTGGATGCGCTTGATCCGATTTGTTTCCTTTTGAATATCGAACAAACCAACCGTAAAGCAATGATATGATAATGAAAAACAAAAAAAAAGACATAGACATCATTAGTGAACGTGCAAAATAGTGAAAAAAAATGAAAAAAAGGATTGATCGACTATAATTTTTTAAAAAAAAGCTCCATTGTCAAAAGCGATATAAAATGAATAATAATGATGATGATAAAAGAAATTTTTCAATGAACAAAATTACCATTTCGTGGATTGGCACCGCCCCGTTCCAGAATCCGATTTGCATATTGTCCCCATTGTCGATTATTACATTGTGCTTGAATTAAATCATTCAATTTGATTTCGGGTGGAAATTTATTTGTCTCCGTTCGTGGATAACTAATAAAACCTAGATTGTAAAGACGTTCGGCAGCCATCATTGCACGTTTGGCGTTTATTTTCAATTTTGATGATGCTAAACGTTCAAATGTAACCGTATCCATTGGTTGTGGACGATATTTAGATGTACGACGATTATTCACCCTTAACACTTTTGCTTGTGGATTTTCCATTATTTTCGTCATTATGGCTGCACAAGCTCGTTGATCAAATAAACGTTTTCTGTCCCAGGTGAATGTACATTTAATATTATCACGTTCTACATTAACTTCAATAAACCAAAATGGCTGTGGTACAAATTCTTCACGTTCTTTCCAACGTTCAACAACGAATCCTAGAGTAGGAAACTGACAGCTCCCATAACTAATAATACATTTATTTAAATTAGGCACAAGTTGTTGTAATCCTAGGGTCAGAAATCGTGTAAAAGAAGCACCAATACGTAGATCCAATTGTTGTCGAATATCGACAGCATCTGAAAAAAAGAAATTTTCATAAATATAAATTGATTGCTATTATGAAATAGCCTTTACAAATACCTGAAATTTTTTTATCTGGTTCAGTCAATGAATTAATGGCTCGATATATGGCAGCACTAGTAATTTCAGAAAAATGTGCACGTAATACACGAATATCTGGCTTTATTGCTTGACAAATTTTCACGATTTCAAAACCAATATTTTCACCTTCACGATCACAATCGGTCCAAATAATCAATAATGAAGAGACACGAACTTCACGTTCAATGGTACGTTTGATTAACTTACATTGATCTGAACAAGTAGTAGTGATCGGTGCTGAAAATAGTACTCTTGGATCACATCCATTCCATCTACTATAATCACCAATAAAGTCATAGTTGAGTAAATGGCCCGAAACTGATGTCATAATCATCTGACATTGTTGATTTCTTAAGGCAGGCAATTGCATTTGAAATTCATATATTTTGTTGAATTTTGAATAGCCTTCACGGCGTCTTGACGTACCTCGACTCAGAATATTAGCAACATTTTTAGCCACATCATTTTTTTCGGCAACATTCAAAACTTTGACCATTTCGATGTTTTTTTTGGCAGTAGCGAAATTTCGGCAACAATTAGATATTTTTTTAGATAAAACCGATACATCTACAACTAATGAATGTTTAATCAATGAAAACATTACGAAATTATCAATTCTTAAATTATTGGCGCCAAAATCAAATCAAACATTTTACTCAAAACAATAATGACGACAGAATTGACAATGCGTGCAACAAAAACAACGATGATGATCGATTTTAACTATTTCCACATCAATGGTATTTGGCTTATGATGTAAATTTGAAAAAAAAACATTTTTCATTTTTTAAAAAAAAAAATTTTATTTTATTCCCCGAAAAAATACATTGACATGAATTATCCAGTTATGTGAAAGAAACAAAAAAAAATCAATTCAAAATCAATTAATCAAACCACCAATTTTCCGATTTATAAATTGCCTCGTCGTTCCTGTTCTAATTCGATCGATTCGAATAAGGTTTTGAAATTTCCAGCACCAAATCCTTGATGATTACGTCGTTGAATGACCTCCAAAAATAGAGTGGGTCGATCTTGCATTGGTTTGGTGAAAATCTGCAACAAATATCCATTGTCATCATAATCGATAAGGATGCTCAATTTTTCTAACATAGCCATGTCTTCGGCCACTTTGGTAGGACTGTTTTTAAGTTTCTCACGAATCATTTCATAGTATGTTTTCGGTGCCTTCAAGAATTCCATACCTCGTGCACGAAGATTACTGATAGCTATGAGAATAATAAATATATATCGTGTTTAAAAACTAGTATATTTTATTATTATTTTTAATGTTTCTTACCAGAAATAATATCCTCTGTACGTAAGGCAATATGTTGAACACCAGCACTGCCATAATAATCAACATATTCTTGAATCTGACTTTTTCGTTTAGCTGGAGCCGGTTCATTGATTGGCATCTTGATTGTTTCCTCATAATTGGCCATGACAATTGATCTTAATGCAGAATATTCAGTATGCATCTGTTTATCATCGACCGACCAGAATCGATGAAATTGCAATACTTTTTCATACCATTGAGCAACCTTTTCCATCTGATTATCCGGTTGATTACCTACAACATGATCGATATGAAGCAAACCAATATTGGGTAATTTAGCAAGAAAATCATCGATTTCTAATTCTGGTTTTTTATAACCAGGTAAAAATGTTCCACTGTAATTACGACGATCGACCAATTTATGAACCGTATCACCATACGTTTGAATAGAAGCCGTTTTAACCGAACCAAAATCATCACGATCTTCACGAATTTCTTGAACAATTTTTCCACCACGTTTTCGTGCCGTTTCGACAATATATTCAATATCTTCTACATCGAATGCCACCACTTTTACACCATCACCATGACGAATTAAATGTTCACTCATATCCGTATGTGCCGGATTCAATTGTGATTGAAATTCAAATATAATTTTATTCTGTTTAACCACATGGCTGACAATGTCACGGCTACCGGTTTCCAAACCTTTATATGCCAATGGTTTGAAACCCATATGTACACAATAATATGTTGCTGCTTGTTTAGCATTACCAACGATATAGGTAACATGATCGAATTGAATGAAACGACCACGTTCAGGTCGTGGTCCTTTGTCCGTATAGGATGTCATTGTTGTTGAATTTTGAAGAATTTATAAATTTTTTTTTCTGTGAAATATAAAAACAAATTTGAAAATTGAAATTGAAATTCTCATTTATATACCTTTCGTATGATGAGAATTTGACCTTCAATAAAATTTAGGAATCTGTACAACACGCTAGCCGTTATCAATCAATCGAATCTCTCCAAAAAAATTTTTTCAGTCATAATTTTGCTAATATAATATCCATTAAACAAAAAAAATCAAACGTTATGAACAAACAAAATAAAAAAATCTGAAAAAACTGGTCTAGCCACTTTGATCATAGCCATCCATTCATGTTGATGGTTTGTGATTTAACTTAATGTGTGTGTGTTCAATTCAATGATGATCAAAAAATCGCGTAGCAACATGTGACAAGAAATATAAAATCAAAAAAAAAAAAAAAAAATTCGAATCAACAAGTTTTAAGCAAAAAAAAAAAAAAAATTCTTTTCATGATAATGATGAACATAATCAGGAATAAATTAACATTGATGATGAAAAAAAATACAATGAATGATAATATAACTGAATAAACGAAAAACAGAAAAAAAAGCCCAGCGGCATTTTTTTTTTTTAAAAAAAAAAATTGCAGGGATTTTCTTGTTTCCAAGGTAAACATCATTCGATTCAAACACACACACACACATTCGCCAGGTGCAATTCTTTATATAAAATTATTTTCAGCTTGAATAAATTCGTTTATAAAAAACAAATTGAATGATGTAATGATAAATTTATTCGAAAAATGTTTTTTTCTTTACTTTGTTATCAAGTTTTTTTGCGAATAATTTTTTTTTCTTTCTTTCGATTAGTTTAGAAATGAATTATGATGAATTACAAATCAAAACCTACAGAACTATTTTGTGTTTGAATTACAAAAAAAAGGACAATTGTGTTTGAGTGATGATTTTTTAAACCAATAAAAATAATGTAAAGATAAAGTTCATATGGTGATGATGTGCAAAATGTTGGTATATCGAATCAATCAGAATTTTTGTTCATTTGTCTTCGACTATAGAAAATTTAAAAATAAATTAGAAATCAATTTAAATTATTTTGATAAATTTGAATAAAACTTACAATAAGTAGAAACGTCAATATCGGCAGGCATTTCTGGAATTGAAACATCAAAACGATCTTGAACACTATTCAACACTTTGGCATCGCTTTCGTCGCTCACAAACGTTATAGCTAAACCTTTAGTTCCAAAACGACCGGCACGTGCAACACGATGTAGATAAGTGTCACTATCTTCGGGCATATCGTAATTGAATACGATATTGACACGTTCAATATCCATACCACGACCAAATAAATTTGTGGCGACCAATATACGTTTTTGGAAATCTTTAAATTGTTGATAACGGGATAAACGTTCCTCTTGTGTCATAGCACGGTGAATGGCAATAGCTGGGAAATTCTGTTCGACCAATAAATTTGCCAAAGCAACACATCGTTGTACACTTTTGACGAAAATTACCACCTAAAATTTCAGAAGAAATAATGTTTGAAAAACCAGAAATGGTTAGCAAATGAAATGAGTATTTAAAATTCAAAACTAAATCTATCTAGCAAACAAAACTTAATTTCCGAATACTTTAGCACTCATGAATGATTGATTTACACTGACACAAGTGACTCTAAGCTTCGGCATAAAAACAATGATTGAAAATTTTTTTTGAAAACATACCTGATTGAATTCTAAATCATCAAGAATTTGAAACAATTTTCGATTCTTTTCCGAATCTTTAAGTTTGACGTAATATTGTTGTAGGCCATGCAATGTAAGTTTTGTTTCATCCACGTATACTTCCATAGGCTGCAAAAAAAATTTTGAAGTAGAACGGTAGAGAAAAATGGTTGATTAGTACCAAAAAATATCAAATTTAAAATTAAAATGGATACTGTAGCGATCGTGTTGTTTCTGCCATATTCTTCTCGTTTTTTCTCATCATCATCATCATCATCTATTATAGAACATTCTTCGATGATATCGACCACCAATTAATTGTGGAATAAAAAATTCATATCGACAGCAATAGCAGCAACACAGCGGCATAAGTTGCATCGTAAAGAAAAAAAATTCAATCTCCAATCTTTATCCATATATATTTCAATCAATTAGGGATAATGTGGATAACGCCGGTATTTGGAATCAAAAATACCACACCAAATCAACATAAAGATTGAATGATTTATAATTTGTTGCAATCGAGCCGTAGTAATATGCAATCATGGAATTGTTGCTTTGTGAACAGATAATTGAAATGAATTCATTTGATTTAGTTCGCCATGTATTGTTTCATTGTTGTGGTCGTAGAGTTGAATAATGAATTGAGTTGATTTAATATTTAACATGTTTTCGATTAAATTGAAATTCAACCGATAGTGATTGATAAAACCCTAACATAACATTTTATGAATTATTTTTTCCGTTGATTTCAAAATCGTTGTCACTAATCTTCTACATGCATTTTTTTTAGTAGTTTCACTTTCTTTCGTATTCCAATAGAAAAAGTTGAATCATCTTTCTTTCTTTCATCACTGGGTAATGGCTTTTCAATTTCTGAAAATTTTCTATGTTTTATGGGATTAGCTGCTAAATATTGATTGATCTGCGCAAACAAAAAAAAGCCACATCATTTGAACGGGCGAACAATGTTTGTAACAAACAACGTGGTCCATTTGAAATCATCGTAACAGATGAGATGAGCAAAAAAAAAAAAATGAAAAACGAAACGACATAAACAAATTTGTATGCCAATTATATATATCTATGGGCATTCATTCATTTGGCAGCCTTGTAGCATTTTTGATTTAAGGTTGCATTCAGGTTCACCAAGAATTTGTCGATTTGTTGTTTTTCAACGATTTTCAACAACAACCAACAGGCAGTAATGTATGTAATCGCTTCTGAATGTATGAATCGTGAATATATGGTTCAATTGACATCATGCTTACATCTTGCATAAATTTTTTGCAAACTGGTCGAATTTCCTTTGACAATGTAGCACTAAACATCATGACTTGTTTCTCATGAGGTGTAGCTTTGAAGATTTCTTGAACATCTCGTCGCATATCTAATTAAATTAAAATGTTTGAAAATATAAAATGAGCAAAACCTTTATTAATTTTTCAAAGAAAAACTTACCAAGTTGTTCAAGCATTTTATCGCATTCATCTAGAATAAAATGTTTGATATTTTTTAGATTCAACTTTTTGTTACGAATCAATGCCAAAATTCGACCAGGTGTACCAACAACGATATGTGGTGGATTCATTCGTAGAACTTTTTCATCATTGGTAATGGTGAGACCGCCGAAGAAAACTGCCACACGTATGCTAGGCATATATTTGGAGAAACGTTCATATTCTTTGGATATTTGAAACGCCAATTCACGTGTATGACACATGACCAATACGGATATTTGTCCATCGACTGGATCCAATTGTTGTAATGTGGCCAAAACAAAAACGGCCGTTTTACCCATACCAGATTTTGCCTGACAAAGAATATCCATACCAAGGATAGCTTGTGGAATACATTCATGTTGGACCTCACTGAAATGATGATGATGATTTAATGGTTTCAGTATTAGACAAAAAAATTTAATAAACATACCTGGGATGTTCAAAACCACAATCAACGATAGCACGTAATAATTCGGGTTTCAATAGGAAATCACGAAAACCACTAGAATGAATGGAAACATAACCAGCTTTTTTCGTGTCATTGACTGTACCATTATTGTTTGTTTGATTATTGGAAAGATCACCACCAATCGGTGCCTGTTCTTCATCTTCCTCATAATCTAACAAATCATTATCATTATCAGCCATTATTATTTAAAAGTTGATGAACGATTAATTAAACTAAATTATTAAACAAATTTTAAGGATTGAAAAAAAGATTAAAATGTTGATGTGGATGAAAATATTTTAATTGTTTCAAGATAATTGAAAACAAAAAAAATCAAAATTTTTATCCTTTTGAAATCGGTGTGGTCCGTGATAATGAAAGCAAGAGAAAGAAAAGAAAAAGCTAAGATGGTGGCAATTGAATTACAATCAAAATGAGCACCGATTACATGCTCTCTTTTCGTAGTGGTCATGATAGCCCGAAATACGAAACAACACTTTTGTTAGTCGTATACAAAATTCGACTACTATTTCAAATGGTATTCTATGGATTTTCATACCTCTACCATGAAACGTATCTGTATTGTGACCAATTTTTTTATAGCAACTATTTACACCGATTGAACCTATGAAGTTTAATTGGAGTTTTTTTTGGATAATTTTTTTTTTCATTCCTTCGCGAACTTTTTTTTGTTGATTGGTATTGTTTTGATGATTTTTTTTGATTAAATTTAATTAAAATTGAATTTTTGAAAACACTATAATAACTATCATTTAATTTCATAGATTCTTCACTGACTGTCACTAATACAAAATGCTTTCTTTAATTAGAACTTCGTCAATGATACGATGTCCTTCAATTTTGGCTAGAACATTGAATGTACCTTCGACACAACAACAATGTACAAAGGCTACTTTACCCGATCTTCCATATGATTACAATGCTTTGGAACCAGTAATTTCTACTGAAATTATGCAATTACATCACAGTAAACATCATCAAGCTTATGTTAACAATTTGAATGTTGCATTAGAAAAAATGGAAGAAGCCAAGTCAAAAAATGATGTCAAAACAATTATCGAATTGGAACCAGCCTTACGATTTAATGGTGGTGGCCATATCAATCATTCAATTTTCTGGCATAATCTAGCACCAGTTGGAAATGGTGGTGAACCGAAAGGCGAATTATTACAAGCGATTAATTCATGTTTTGGATCGATCGATAATATGAAAGCTCGTGTTAGTCAATTGGCTATTGGTGTACAAGGTTCCGGATGGGCATGGCTTGGTCGTTGTCCGAAAAGTGGACAACTTCGTGCAGTTGCCTGTCCCAATCAAGATCCATTAGAACCGACAACCGGTTTGATTCCATTATTTGGCATTGATGTCTGGGAACATGCCTATTATTTGCAATATAAAAATGTTCGACCAGATTATGTTAATGCCATTTGGAAAGTAGCCAATTGGAATGATATCGAACAACGATTTATGGCTGCTAAACCAAAATGAATGAATTATGTTTTTATTGTTTAAACTTTATTAATCACCAGTGATACAGTAATAATAATAATAATAAAAAATAATCATTTTAGATATCATTTTTAGTCAGAAACAATGGATTTGATAAACGAAATACCGTTGGAAAAATTGATGATAAAGCTGTAAAAAGTTCTTGCGATATTCCTTTCGGTACAACAAATTGAATGGTTTTGTTTTCACTATCACTAATCGATAGTAATGATGACATTTCAATCATGAATCCTTTTACACATTTTAATATTAATTCAGCACGTTTCAAACACCATTGAATAGTGATATCTTCATACATTTGATCCAATAGCAACAATGGTAGATAAATGTTAGCAATGTCATAAATGTAGGCAATTTTCAAAATGTTACGTAAACCTAAAATGACAGGATGACGAGAATTTATTTCGGAATGACGTATCGAATCATCGGTGACAATATGAAAAACTACATGTGCTTCCGAAAGGTTCGAATGACGAGTGATATAAACATCACCCGTTTTAAGACGATAATTTTGCCCATTCTTTTGTTTCTGTTCATTTACTGGTTTTAAACGATTTAAATCGGCTTTGATCAAATCAAATTGAGAATCCAATCCAGGAAAATGATTCTCCGAAGTGTTCATAATCATTTTAGCAAAATCGGATTTGGTCGTTACAGAACTTGTCAATGATTCATCAGCCAACAAAACAACTGCAGATAATGAATTTGAATATAATGACATGGCAGTCTGAATTCGATGAGGTGTCGAAACGTTGCTACAAAATTTGAGCATATTGGCTGCGATTAATCGCAAATTGTGTGTAGTTTTTAGTTGTGATCCAAGATTAATTGTATAGCTTTCTTGCATTTCAAGTTCATCGGAAATATCGACAAAATCTGAGAATGAATTTTCTTTATCTTCAGTCAATACATTAGATGTAGAATCATGTTTCAGATCAAGCGAATTTGACTTGGCATGTTTACAGGAATCTTTCATAAGATCTTCGTATGTGTTTTTGATCCAGGTATAAAATTCTCGTTTCTGATCACAACGAACATTACGAATTTTTTCTAACCATTCGTTACGAGTTTTTTCAGCTAATGAAATATTTCTCTTTGTCAGCATGTTTATCTCTTTTTCACTGTATTTGCCACTGAGAAGAATATCTTCGATTTTTTTATTTTGTTCCTGGGATAAACCTCGAAGAAATTCCTCTTTTTGATTTATCAAAGATCTGATAACATCGGAATTATGATTTTCTAATTGAATCAGCTGTTGTGTTAATTTACCTGAATGGATGATCTTATGATACATCAGATAGAACTTTTCTTCGGAAATATTGTCTTTTGGTTTTTGTAGATTCTGATTTTGTAATTTCGAATCAGGCAATGTTGGACAGATTTTTAGCTTTTCAATAAACTGAAGTGATTTACTGGCAAGTTTTTGCTGATTTTGTAACACATGTTCAATGTGATTACATTGAATCTTATCAATATTTTCATCGATGAATGATTGCAATTTTTCCATAAGATCATCTTCAAAGTATTCGGGAACATTATATTGTTTCATTAAAAGGAATCCATATTCACGTGGAGTTACATGCGTATCCAATGGAAGTCGGATTGAATGTTGAAATACGGATTCATCAGAAGATGTTTGATATTTGAATTGAAATTCTTGTGTTAAACAATTTAGGCTATCCATTATTATTAACCCCAGGCTTGTGCTTTTGAATAATAGAGTATTAATTTTCCATCACAGCCAAAACAATCAAAAAGATTCTGTACTGTTTGCTCTAATGATGGTGCAAAAATTTGATTCACATATACAAATAAGGCTTCGTTTGATTCTAAGTTTAAAAATTTTTTGATCAACACTTTTAATTGGCCAATGGTAAAATTTGAATCAACTTTAAAATTTTTCTTTTTCAATATCGGTGTATTGCCAGTCGGTATTAATAATAAAGGAACTAGAAAAAAGTTATGAAGATCGAAATGATTTGTTAATTACAGAATGAAAAATACACCCATACTTTACCTTTATTGTTTTTTTCTTTTGGTTGCTCTTGTTGGATCGGTTCTTCAGGACACGTTTTTTGTGGAACTTGTTCAACTTTGTCTTTATTTTCCATTATTTTTGACCATGATGATAATCAATAAATTTTGCTATGGATTAATTTTATAATGATTGATGATATACGATGATATATTGATATAAAGAAATAGTGAAACAATAAACAAAAAATCTTTTTGATAAATGAAAAACGATATAACTTTTATAGAGAAAATTTCCGGGTAATTTGAAAAATTTTAAAATGATTCATGTTTTATTATGATGTTGATGATTTTTGACAATCATTGCTGTGAGTTTGAGTTTGATGAAAATTTTTGAACTTGAAATTGATATTTAGTTTTAAATAATTTTCGTATGTCATTAGATCGATTGTTGTGGTTATCATCACCATTATTATCATATTTATCAATGGTTTCAAGTGCCACTTTCATTCTCATCAATTTTTGTTGGATGATATGTGTTTTTATTACGACTAATTTTGACATTTCTTCCAAATTATTACAAGCTATCTGAACAGATTGTTCTAAACATTCTAAACGTTTCAATGGATCATTGAATGATTCTATTAATCGATCATGATTTGCCGATAATTCTTGACATTCTGATTCAACCATTAAATCATTGATTGGTTTTGATTGTAAATTTTTTTGTTCTTGATCACAATTATTGTTATTATTAGTATTAATAATTTTCATCTTGGAATACTATCGACGAGAACAACTTGTGAAAAAAATAATCATTAAATCATTAAAACGTTCGAAATTCTAATCCACTATCGAATAAAACAATCGATTATTATGTAATGTAAGTAGAATTTTATTCAAAGATTCAAAATTATTATTATTGGAAAAAAAGTAGACAAAATGAAAAGAAAAGGATAGAAAAAAACGATGAAAAATTAGACAGTATGTCATAATAAATAAAAAATTTTAAAATTTTATATTAATCAAATAAGTTGTATCGAATCTGCGTGAATTGAGAGAATATGATGATTAGGATCGATAATATAATTGGTTCAATATTCTTCATCTGATGAATTATCATAATTATAGTTGACCGGTTGTCGAATGCGACCAGTTTTCGTACGAAATTCTGGTGGAATTTCATCATTAAATGATTCATCGATTACTATTAATTTATTCTTTTTGGTTTTCTATAAAAAAAATAAATAAATAAAACAAAAAATAAGTTTTCAACAATCAACAGAATTTGTAAAAATAAAAAACAAACCTTTTTCGATGTTTTGAAATCATCATCGTCATCAAAATCATCCGATTCAGAATCTAAAATTCGTTTTTTCTTCTTAGTTTTGGCTGCCGTCTTTTTAGATGCTGTTGTTTTATTTCCACCAGCAGTTGTTGCTTTTTTCGATTTAGTTTTTTTCGAAGCAGCTGATATAACAAAATCTGAACTGTTTGAATCATCTTCCTTGTCATCATCATCATCATCATCATCATCATCTTCACTATGTAATTTTTGTTTCTTTGTCGTTTTCTTGACTTTTTTAGTCGTTTTGATTGTTTCCGCCGTTGCTACTGCATTAACGAAATCATCTCGTTTATCATTTTGAAAAATATCATCATCATCATCGTCATCGAAAAGTCGATCATCATTTTTATTATTATTTGATTCCATTGTGGCAGATTTTATCGTTCCATTGGTAGATTTCGGTGGTTCATTCGATGTTGACGATGTAAATGATGATGTAAATATCGAATCAAATAATTCTTCACTTGTTTTTTTCTGTTCCTGTTGTTTAGGTGGTTTAAGTAGTTCATCATCTTCATCACTATCGGCAAATGTTCGTTGTGGTGGTGGTGGTTGTTGTTGAGTAACTGGAGGTTGAGTGGCTACGGGCATTGTTTCAATACTGTTTTTGGTAGTGATTTCTGATTTTGATTTTTTTGTTTTTGGCTGTACATGTCGAACATTTAATTCAAAATCATCATCGTCATCATCATCAAGATCTAATTCCATTTCATCATCATTATCTTCGGATAGATCATCATCTGACCATGGATTTCGACTTTTCTTTTTATTCGATTTTGTTTTAGTTGATTTAGCTGACGACTTTGATGCATCACCATTTTCTTTGGTTTTTTTATTATTTGATTTTTTTGATTTTGGCAAAGTTGTTATTGTTGTTGTCGTCGTCGTTATTGTTGGCGGATCATTTTCATCCCTACGTTTACTTGTCAATGCTTTTTTCTTATCAACCAATTCTGGTGATATACCAATACGTTGTGCCAATGGAATGTATTCATTTTCACTATCAGAATCGATAGCAATGACATTGTTGTTTGTTGAAGCCATTTCAACACTATTTACTGGTTTATCCGAGTTGGATAATTTTTCAACATTATTATTATTAGCTAATAATGATTGTTGTTTTTTATTCATAATTAGATTTGTTTTTCTTAACAATTCGGAATCAATTTTGGGCACAATACGTTCACCATCCGGTGATGGTTTATAATCATTTAGGGCACCATTAAATGTTTGTTTTTTGACCGGACGTGATGATACTTTTGATGAATGTTTCATTTTCAACTTTAACTTATTACCTGATTCAAGCTGTTCACGTTCAAATTGTTCAACATGATCTAATTCATCAAGAAATTGTCTTAAATCTTCTTCCCAAAGATCTTCTAATGTTGAAAGTCGAAGTTTTTCCAATTCTTGTTTCTTATGATCACGTTGTTTTAATAATTCGTCCACTTTTTCACGTAACATACTACGCATACTCATATCAATAAGATAATCAAAATTATATCGTTTTTCTGGATATTCATCACCATCATCGGATTCTTTATCAGATTCTTCATCTTTATCGGAATTCTTTTTCTTCCATGCTTTTACTGGATCGGAATCATAATTTCTTTTAACAAGTGTTGTAATGAAATCTTTCTTTTTAATATTTTCCATAATTAAAATGCGATCATTTTTTTCCAAAATAAATCTAGCCTGATTTTCAAGTTTCAACGTTTCAGCTTCTAAAATACCTTCATAATAGGCTTTACGTTTGGCATAATATTCAAGACGAACCGGATAGAATTCTTGCAGAATTTCTTCTGGTGTTTCATATTTTTTTAAACAACCAAGATGATCAAATAGTACCATAGTTGTTGTAGACATTGATGTTTGAATTTTGAATGTTTTATGTAAGCCATTGTTCAATGCTTTCTGTAGATTTTCTTCAGACAATGTAATGACGAATTTAACAGTCGCATCCGTATGATATTCTTTGTAATCCTGTATGAATGGTGGTGATTTTTCTGTACCATTCAACATTGGTTCTAATACTGTTTCTTTATATGTTTGAGTCCAAACACGAATCGGTAGTTCAGTGATTTCAAATGATTTGCCATTATCCAATATAGCTGCCTCACCATTTATCACAAATCGTTGCGTGTCAATTTGTTCAATTGTTCCATTAAATCCTTTAAACCATGGTTTCATCGATCGAATTTCTCGTCCATGCATTAAACGTCGAATATTGTCAACAATTTCACGTGGATTATAATTGGGAATTTTAGTACTCCAACCAGTACCGATACCTTCGGCTCCATTAACCAGAACAGTAGGAATAATAGGAACATAGTATTCTGGCTCAATTTTTAGATTATCATCATAAAGATAATTTAACAATGGATCATCTAGCTGTGGAAATAATTTCCTTGCTAACGTACTGAGCATGGTGAATATGTATCGAGGACTGGCTGCATCTTTACCGCCTTGAAGTCGTGTACCAAATTGACCAAGAGGTTGCAATAAATTAATATTATTACTACCGACGAAATTCTGAGCCAAATTTATGATTGTCGACATAAGCGATACTTCACCATGATGGTAAGCACTATGTTCACCTACTGAACCGGCTAATTGAGCTACTTTAACTTCACGTTTATCGTTTCGTTTAAAACAAGTGTAAAGCACTTTACGTTGGCCTGGTTTCAATCCATCCACCAATGATGGAATCGAACGTTCATTATCCATATTACTGAACAGGATCAATTCTTTGTTAACAAAATCTTTGTATGTAATGTTTCGAGTATTCTTTTCATATAGATACATTTCCGGTAAGCCTAATTCTCTTCGACGTTTTCGTTCTTCTAACGAATTTGTAAGCCATTCTTTACGTTGTTCAACCATTTTTTTACTGAAAGCTAATTGAACAAAATGATCATCATCATGACCAGAATAATGAAATTTTATACGATGTCTTTCCATTTCAGTAAAATATTCTTTTGCTTCAGCCGAAGTCGAAGTACCCAAACCTAGAAGATGGAAGAAAAAAAAATTGATTGTTTGTTTCGATAATGAATCCAGAAAAAAAATATTACCTTTATAATACTTTATCTTGTAGTGAAGCCAATTTGGATTGGATTTTTTCCATTCTTCAAATTCTGGTAAACTATAAAATGAATGAACCTCATTACCCTTTGATGCTTTTACAATTGGTGTAATGAACTGTTCTAGAAAGTTTAATTTCAGTAATGATGGCCAATTATGGTGTATGAAATTAATCAACAATCCTTTAATGTGTGAGCCATCTTGATCTTGATCGGTCATAATCATTAATTTACCATAACGAAGTGTTTTGAGATCATCGATTGATTGATATTGTTTCTTATATTGAAGACCAACAATTTTGATGATGTTATTTATTTCGGCATTTTCCAGAATCTGTTTATGAGATGCTTCACGTACATTGAGCATTTTACCTCGAAGAGGGAATACACCATATTTATCACGACCAACTACGCCTAATCCAGCAACAACAAGAGATTTGGCAGAATCACCTTCAGTTAGAATTAGTGTACAATCGATTGAATTTTTTGTGCCAGCATCGTTTGCATCTTCTAGTTTAGGAATGCCAGTCAATTTGGCATATTTCTTTGAATGACATTTTTTTGATAGCTCAGTCTGAGCTTTGAATTTGGCCCATGATAAAACAGCTTCAACGATACCAACTTTAAATACATTATTGAAAAATTTATCCGCTGGTGAACAGGTTGAACCGAAACTTTTCACCTGTAATGTCATTGTTTCTTTGGTTTGCGAATCAAATGTAGGATTTTCAATCAAACAATTGACAAACACCCAAAGATGATTACGAATTTGAAATGGTTTAACAGCGATGCCAACTTTATTTTTCTTTTTAATAACTTCGGTCACTTTATTGACAATTTGATCGGAAACATGATCAACATGTTTACCACCACGAGTTGTTGCAATACTATTGACAAAACTGATTTGTTGAAAGCCATTATTACTAACGGTGGCAGCAATCTCCCATCGATCATTAACATTTTCATGGACAACTTTGATATTATTACCAATTTCATCTTGACGATCTTTGACAAAAAGTTCAACATATTCTTTAAAACCACTGATTGGTAATTTTTTTCCATTAAGAAATACTTTTACACCACGTGTTGAACCGGCAACATCGTATGCTCGTCGTGAGAATAATGCAACAATATCTTTATCAAGACAATTCATTTTAAATTTAGATAAATCCGGTTGAAATGTTATGCGAGTGAAATCTTCTGTTGCATTTGTACTGATTTTAGGATCCTTTGTGTCCTTCATATTATCATTCCAAATTTGTAAAAATGACTTATGATATTCTTTACATGAAGTTTCTACTTGGAATTTTGTACTAAAAATGTTACATAATTTGGCGCCAAAACCATTACGGCCACCGACCACTTTTTTCTCTTCATCATTATAATTTGATGATGTCAATAAATGACCAAATATTAATGTTGGTACATAACATTTTTCTGTTTTATGTTCAATAACAGGAATTCCTTTACCATTATTATAAATGGTTATCTCGTTGCCATCGCTACCGTAGTATACAGCAAAAAAAAAAAAACAAACAAAATCAATTTAAATCAATCAATATTACATGACATATAATCATATATAATACACTTACACATCAATATCGATTCTTATGCAATTCATTGATTTATCTCTTTGTTTATTATCAGCAGCATTGACAAGTATTTCATCAAATATTTTATACAATCCTGGAACATATGTAATTTCACGAAATACCATTTTATCTTCATCTTTATCCCAGATCCACATTTGCTATCAAATGTAAAAAAAAAAAATTCGAATATCAAAAAATATTAATAGAAGTAATCAACAACACTAACCTTTGTCTCTTTTTCAACAGAACCAATATATGTATCCGGTCTTAATAGAATATGTTCCAATTGTGTTTTTTTCTGATATATACGTTCAATACTTTGACGTTTCTTTTGTTGTTTACCATTTTGTTGTTGTTGTTGTTGTTTTTTACTAGTTGTAGCTTTTGATTTATTTGTTTTACTACCACCAACACCGAATGTTTCATCCTCAAAATCGGATTCATCTTCATCAATAAAATCTGATTCATTCGACATTGATGACATTTTGTTGATTATGATGATAAATTTTTTTGTATATAAAACATTAAACAACAAAAATTTTTAAAAAAAAAAGAATCAATCACTACTACCACAGAACAATGGACTCAATGTTTTTCTTTTTTTTTTTTTGGCCGGGCGGCTGGTGATGAGAATAGAGATATAGATATAGATAGATAGAATAGATGATGATATTAAATGGCCAAAATGGTCGCTATAGTCAATGGTTTTTGGTCGGTCAATCGGCCAATCATTGAATTTTTTTTTTTTTTTTATTTCAATTCAGACAATTTTTGTGTGTGAGGACCAAGAACAAAAAAAAACAAGTTGTATGTTTTTGTGTGTGTGTGTGTATGTCGGGGTTTTATTATGTATGAATGTGAGTTATACACGGCTACTTTAGCTCAAATGCACACACACACACACACAATGGCCGGAGAATATATTGAATTGACTTACACAAACAACACACACACAGATACACAGACAGACAAAAGCTTCATTGGATCATATATTCTGAGCGCGCGCTTACAATATACATATATATATATTGTAATGAATCAAAGACGAACAACCGGCCAACAATTTTCATATTTGGAAAAAATTTCCAAAATAAAAAAAATTTGATTTCTTGAAATCCTAATATTCCCCAAAAAACCAGAAAAATCATTCATCATTTTATCTGAATTATAGATCTATTGATCAAAGATTTATTCGGTTTTTGAATTTGTACGGCATAAACACTGTATATCCAACAGTGGAAAACATGTTTCATGTATGAAGATACAGGAATCACTCGTTTTTTTTTGGTTGTTGATTAATTCATAAAATGATCATCGGATCCAATGAAAAGAAAAAATGATCCAGATTCGTCCTATCTGAATAGATCCGAAATTGAATCTTGGGTTATTGGCTTTTTTTTTGCACATCAATATACACTGTATACTGTATACGTTTTTCGTTTCGTTTCGTTCGTTTGTTGTTGTTTTTGCTGTCGCTGTCGCTGCTGCTGCTGATGCTGATGGATCAGATTTTCTTCAGGCTGATGCCAATTTGAAACTCAACAAAAAAAAAATTAAAACAAATCTCGTTGATGATTTAAGAGAGAAAGTCTCGTTTGGGAAAATTTTTTTCTTTCATTTTGTTTGTTTGTTTGATGTTTAATCAAAGAAAAAGAAGAAATGTTTCGTCGCAAAACAACAACAACAACAACAACAATGAAACTTGAATAAAATTTTCAATCAAATATAAAGAAAAAGAGAGAAAAAAACTGTTATTATGAAAACAGCAACTGAATTGAAAAACGGATGATGAAAATTTTCATCATTTAAAGAAATAAATATAACATCAACATCAAATATTCTTTCGACAGCCATTTATCTCTTTATTTATTATTTCTATTTAATTGTGTTCCTCGTGTTTGGTGGTGGCTGTGTATATTTATCATCGTTGTCGTCGTTGTTGTTGTTTATGCTATTAGCCAATCGATTTCGAAATATTGTCAAAAAAAAAAAATTTTCTCCCCCTTGGCAATTCAAAGAATTTTTTTTTCTTTCGTTATTGAAAAAAAATGCTGTAAATGATTTAACGGTGATTGGATCACCGATTAAATGATCTTGATTGCTGTGCAAAAAAAAAAAAAATGATTCCGGTGGATACATTAAATGAATTGTTATTATTATTATTATTGTCCGTCAATTGACGATTCATTTATTTATTGTTGTTCATGGTTAATTCTTTTTTTTCTGTTACTAATAATTTCAAAATTCACAACACTTTTTCGACAGCAACGAAATTCATCATCAAGATCATCATCATTCTGTATTGACAATCATTGATCATCATGTTGCACAATAATCAATTGATTTCTATTGAAGAAATTCTAGTCAAACCTCCACAAAATTGTCGTGAACGTCCATTAAGGCAATTTATTTTATTTAATCGTAATTCTGATCTAAAAATTTGTATTTATACACTTGGTGCAAGAGTCATGTCCTGTATGCTCAACGAACATCAGATTATCGTTGGTGCTGGTGGTAACAGTAACGGTGATAATAATATTGGTGATAATGGTGGCAATCGTAATAATGATTTTTATCATCATCATTCAACAAGCAATAATTTAGAACAATCAGATGATGATAATCGAATCACAACGACCATGATAACAGCAATGGATGATATTCCAATCATAATTGATCGTAATATGAATAATAATAATAATAATAATGGACAGAATCCATTGCAAAATGTTTGTTGGGATTCACATGTATTTGGTTCAGATACGGTATTATTAAATCATCGTCTTGATTCAATGTTATTTGGTCCAAAACAAACATTAACATATTGTTTGACCAAGAATAATGAATTCATCATTGAAGGTAGTGATATTAGACGGCTACAAAACTTGCGATCATTGTTGATAAATCCATTCTTTTTCAATTTGGTAAGTTTCATACTTATGTTTTCCTGTTGTTTTATTTAATGAAAAAATTTTTTTTTTTATTCATTTAGAATTCAGTCGAAAATGATCAACGTTTAGATGAACATTATCTACATATTCGTACATCACATGATTCAATCAATGTATTTAGTGAACAAACGAATAATAATAATAATGATGATTCCAGTGATAATCATGTTGGTTGTGGTAATGATGATGGTAATAATCCATTATATGAACGTTTTCTTCATCCATCACGTCCAACAATCATAACACAATGTTTAGATGGTTCTGATTTTGTTTATAGTACAAATCCATCAACAATACCTGGTTCATTATTGATTGCAACATTACAATATAAAAATCGTATCATTGAAATATTATTAGAAATTGATTCAAAATGTAAATCCAGTTTAAGGATATTGATCAAAAATGGTTCAATTGCATTTATACCACATGAAATGAGTAAATTTAAAGTGACATATAGATTTCATTGGTGAAAAACAATTCAACACACCTACACACCCACATCTACACTGACAAAATGAAAAAATGTACACACACACACACACACACACAATGTTATCTACATAATTATTATTACATTTTGTTTAGGATCATATTATTCAACTTGTAAGAATTTTATCAGATTGGGACATTTTTTTTTTCGTAATTCTATCTATCTATTTGCATGGTGGTGCATTTATTTGTTTGTTTTTTTTTTGAAAAATGAATGAAAAAAAATTTTAAAAAAAAACATTACCTGATTCTGTTGTATATTCCACTACCACACTATATATTCTTATTATTCTATTCTATATTGACACAAATAATACAAATCAATGTATAGCATATTCAATTCAATGTAATCATCATAGTTCAATTCTGTGTAAAAAACAAAACAAAACAAAACAAACTTTTATTTTAAAATATGTGATAAAGTAAGTGGTGGTAGTCAATATCAAAGAAAATGAATAGCAGAATAACAGCGCCACCACTTTTATTATATATATTATTCTTTTAAAGTTTAAAGTTTTTGTTTTTATTCAAGAAATATTTTTTTTTAAATAAACACCCACCACTAAAAAAAAAAAAAAAAATAAACACACTGTATGTAATATATTCGGATTCAAAATGCACAATATATCACAGAATATGACTGAATTTTTTTTTTACTTTACATTCTTTATTAGATGAAAAAAACAACAACAACAACAAACGAATTTAAAATGTCTCCTATATATATTCTGTGTTGTTTTTATGGCTGAAATTCATTCATTCATTCATGGTTTTTCTGTTTATAGACTGTCGCTACTTTACTGAATTTTTTTTCTTCTTTTCACGTTTTTTTTTTTATTCCATTCTGCATTTGTTATATTTGAATGTTTTTTTTTCTCTCTCTCTTGTTGTCTGTTGTCGCCAATCGATATCTTGTTTGTTGTTGTTGTTTTTGTTTTGTATCACCATTCTTTCAAATTTTAATGTGTAATTAGTTTGTTTTTTTTTTGAAATTTTTCATTTTTACACGGTTGTTTTTTATATGGATGTTTTCTTCTTCTTTTTTTCTGATTCAAATTACCATACCTTTTCTTTTTTGTGTCATATGATAACAAACAAGCAAACAACAACAACAACAACAACATTGGCAAATCATTCAATTATATAAATATAAAAAAAGATAATAAAAACAGAATCAAGAACAGAATATAATAATAAACTAATTTCATTATATATTGGCCTTAGTTTTGTGCACTTTTTTTCCCAATGGAAATATCAAGAATCCAAATGGAATGCACACACACACACACGCCATACACACAAATGTCACAAAAATCAAATTTGAAACAACACACAAATGAGCCTGTAAAAAAAAAATTTTACCATATACATGTATATTGTCGTTGAAAAGATGAACATGTTGATAATAAAGAATGGCGAGAAAAAAATGGGAATTTTTTTTTTGTCTGCGGATGCAAATGTTTATCCTATTATCTAATTTGTTTATATTTAACATTCCAAAATGGAATCATAATTATTATTTTTTTTGTGTGTGTGTGTTCGATACTATTTCAATGATTTCAATTATGATGATTTTTTTTTGAATGAAGAATGAAGAAAGAAAAAGTTGAAAATCACAAATGAATGTCCAATATTGGCAACAACAACAACAACAACATTCAAAGAATAAAAAGAATTAACGGAATAAAGTGAAATAAAATAAAAGCGAAGAAGAATTGAAGGGATTCTATTAGTTCCGTAGAATTCATTATGAGTGTTAGGATTTGACTTTTGTTTCTGATCATTCGAGTGTGTGTGTGTGTGTGAGTGTGTTGTGCGGTGTGCACGTACGCAATACACACATTCGACATACATATACAACAGAAATAAATGAATAGAATCACACAAGATGGGAGAGAATCAGGAACCGTACATTTGATTCAAGAAAAAAAAATGAAGACGATGAAGTGATTAAATTTCAAATCTGTTCCTCTCTTTTTGGCAGGATTTGAATGACAAAATCCTTTGTTTCATCTTTCTATGTGATTTGAAAAATTCCGTAAACGATTTGACTTGATTTGAAAATATCCAAAACGTAGGCGTCAATCAGATTTGTAGAATTTTCTTATAACCACAATTGACTATTATGAATTATTTATTTTACTCACGAATTTAGTGAATTTTTCAGTTTTTGGATTCGATAGAAAAAAATCATAAATTTTATGATAGAAAAAGAATTTGTCTATACCACACACACATGACGGATTAAATTCTAATTTAATTCGGATTTTTTAAAAAATCCTGATAGTCATAAACATTTTTTCATGATGATAATTGTTTTGATACGAAATATTCTGCATTCATTCATCGAATCGATCGATCGATCGATCGAATGATCCAGACATAAAATGGAAAACAAATCAGATTAAAAAAAAAGTTTACAGAATGAAAAAAAAACTCAACAACAATGAACTGGTTAATTGGAATTAATCAATAGAAATCAATTACATAACATAAATCTCATTCTAGGTCAGAAAGAGAGAGAGAAAAAATATCATATGCTTGTCGTGTTTGTGATTAAGTTGTGTGTGTGTGTGAGAAAAAAAAAATTTGGATAATTCCGGATCTGATTTGACGATGGTTGAAAGGAGTGGAATTTTTTTTTTTTTTTTTTTTGGCAGGAAAATTGGCCACTTAAAAATCATTATGTCAAGGAAACAATAATGATGAGTAAAAATAAGGGAGTATTTCCGTTTGGTCATTTAGTTTTTTTTTCGTTGTTTTTGTGTTTCTTGTTTGTATATATATATGAAATAGAATAGAATGTTTTACATCATACATTTTATATATCACAATTGAGAGAGAGAGAGAGAGAGAGAGAGAGAATTATAATGATAAACACAGTGGATAAATATGTTTTTTTTGTTGTTGTTGTTTTTGTTGTTGTTGTCAAATTATAAATTATGAATGTCTGTGCGAATAAGATTTATTCATTGTTGTTGTTGTTGTTGATGATGATGATGCTGTAGCTGCTGCTGCTGTTGCACAGCTATTAGTAACACCACCATGATCACCAACAATATCGCAACGATGAGAATGATGATGAGAATAATGTTGTTGTTGTTGTTGTTGTTGATGAGGATGATGATGATGATGATGATCATGATTTTTATTGTTATTAGCATTACTATTATTACTACTATTTCCACTAATTTGGCATCCGGTTCCACTTGAAATATTTCTTGTAGAAACACAACCAGCACCGCATACACCACCAACTGATGGTCCATCCGGCATACAAGATGTATTACCATCGATTGATGCTGTAGATTCTTCTGGTGTTTTTGATATTTCAGTTACTTCTTGATCATGTTTATGTTTATGATGGAATGGTTGTAATGAAAAACGACGATGTGATTTACGGCCACCACGACGTTTACTAATATGTGGATTATCTTTTCGTATTGATTTATTTTTAAGTACCTGAAGCTGTGTATATACTCGACGTAATTCAGCCTAGAATGAATAATTTTGTTTTTCATTAATTTAGCAACAATAGAAAAAAAAGAAACATCAAATATCAATACACTTACACGAATATCTTCAGGATCCATATCAGACAGGTTAATTTCACCGATATCGATCTCACCATTGGATAAAATGGCTGAATGTAATGAATCGGGCATCATATCCGATACTTCAGCCGATGATAAATAACGAGATCTATGATGTGGATTACGTTTAGGTTTCTTATAGAAAAACTATCCAATACATTTTTTAACCACAATAATAATAATAATGATGATGATGATGATGATTAATCGATTGAAACAAGTGAAAGAAAAAGAAAATAAATTTCAAATTTGAATTAATTAGATTGATGATGTTTATCTAATCAACTTACTTTAGGCATGAATAACATTATGATCGTTGTTGTTATTGTTATTTGACATCTAATAGCATATAATAATAATAGATGATCAGGATGTAGGCTTGGATGTGACCAAAATGCATGTTTAATAACATAGGTAAAAAACGATACAATTGTTTCCAATAAAATTGAAATAGTAAGGGTAAGTTTCTCTTTATAAATTTCTTTTTTAGCATTTCTTATCCGATAGGTAAGATATACGCCACTCAATAGAAAAAGAATTTCACCTGAAAAAAAAGAGAGAATATATTTGAATATTAAAATAGAAAACAAAAACAAAAACACACACACACACACACAAAAAAATTCATGATGAAAGAATGTGGTGGTGAAACAATCATCATCATCATCATTAATAATTTATAATGAATGAGTGAAATCATCAAAGCCAAAGGTAATTTTTTTTTCTTTTGGGCGATAAAGTATTTTTATATCTATCTAGACTTGAGCACATCACTTGGTGGTTTTTTTTTTTTTCTGTTTTTTTTGTTGTTATGGAATATTTATGGTTTTGTGTGTGTGTGTATATGTGTGAGTATAACATACCTATTTCTGTAACATAATCCCAGGCCAATTTTCGACAAACATAAAATTTTAGCCCATTGTTGGCATATTTTTCATCAAGAATATTTCTTGAAGTAAAATTAAATGAATTACCAAATAGATTGAAGCTACGAAAATTTTCAATACCATCAATAACCAATGCTGTCCATGCAGACATATAACCAAAAACGATCAATATGATGCCAAATAAATATTTTAATAAATCTTTATCCTGTACGCATACACGATGTGCTTTTCTTGTTTGAAATTCTGCATAAATTCTATATACTTTAATAACAATTGAACCATAACAAAAAGCGAAACCAATCTCACGGAACCATGGTTCAAGGAAACAAGTAATTGTACTTGATTCATGATAACGTATTATGACCTATATATAATAGAAAATAATAATAATAATCAATAATCAATAATATCGATATTAATAAATGCAAAAAAAAGTATTGGAAAAAAGAAAGAAAAAAGAAGAAATTTTTTTTTTGTTGAGAACAATAAGGAAAAAACCGAAAACAATATTGTCTTTTGAATTTCGGTAATTTTCATGCAACCATGATCGCAAAATGAAGAGTGTGATATGAATGAATGTAGAAAGAAAAAAAAGATGAATTTTTTCTTATTCAAATTCTGAATCCAAATTCGATTCATTAAGTTGATGCAAGTTGAATAATCATCTTGAACATTGATCATCATCATTCATTCACATATATATATATCGATTATTAGAAATAATACAAAATTTACCGTTAGATATAATAATATGGCTCCAAGCAATAATGTTTCCAACATTACCCAGCGAGAGCTAGCAACTCTCTTTGGTTGAAATGAAGATTGATGATGATGAGTGGAATAAAGAATTTTTTTCCCGTTTGTTTGTGCGTGTGTGTGGAACCAATGAGAAAAAAACCAGAAAGAAAAATGAAAAGAATAAAAAATTCATTTATAATCAAATTCAATCAAATGATTATGATGATGATGATTCGATGACAACACATACCTTTGTATAACGTAGACGAAATGTAAGTAACGCAATCAATATGGCAATTATAATACAGAATAATTGTATGATAAGAACAATTATACGAAATGTTTGATCAAATTTAATGAAACATGGTTGATCATCATCACAATCACGGCAACCAGGTTCACATGGTAAACAAATAAAATTATGTGGATAAAAATATTGTTGTCGATCATCAATTGGACCGATGATTGTTTCAATGAATGCCTGTTCAATATCGCGGCCTATTCATTTTTCCATAACAAAAAAGAGAAAGAAAGAAAAAAATTGTGAAAAAGATGCATTTTATTTTTGACATTCACACAAGCGTACGTACGACGCGCGCACGTACACGTACACACATCAATTTGTGTGTTTAAAGTTTAAAAAAAATGAAATCTATTTTCTTTTTTTCAATATATAAACTATATGGAGCCAACCATATACTAAAAATAAAATAAAAAAAACAAGATATCAAAATTGATAGTAGACATTATTTATTATGAAAGAAGAATAAAAAGAAAAAAGAGTTCCACAACACACACACACACACAGAATGAAGAATACGTGAATCTTCATCAATTTTTCAATGTAGCACCCAAATATAAAACAGAATCTGTCGACAATTCTGTATTGTTGTTGTTTGGTAACCATTTTCTTTTTCTTTCTTTTTTTTGTTGTTGTTCTTGATTTGTTTACTCCAAATGGATATAGATGTGACAACAACAACAACAACAACGACGACGACGGCAAACTTTCATATACGACATATTGTTGTCATTAAAAAAAAAAAAAAAAAGAATTGTGATGCGACAATTCTCATATATGGAAAAAAAAAAAAAAATAAAAATACAATTCATTGTTGGGCATTTTATATTTCTTTTTTTTCTTCTTTTCCATCTTGTGATGTAGGTTCAAGTTTTTGTGTGAGTGTTTTTTTTTGTCCAAATTTTTTTTTCATCTTTTTTCTCGTCATATAAACACTTTATTATGAGTAAATTTACAGACTCTCTCTTTCTCTCTATTGAACAATTGTTGGTGACAAATTCTAAGCACGAATTTTTTTTTTTTTTTTTACTTTTATTTGCGAGAAAGTAATGCTAGTGTGTGTGGTATCTCACTACTTGTGTATGTGAAGTTGGTACCAATGGACAATTATGATGAACTTTTTTTTTATTTATTTTTTATTTTTATTTTTATTTTTTTTTTTTTTTGTTGCAAAGGCAATTTCATTTCAAGTATTTGGAATTTGGAGTTCCATTGATATAATGAATGGGAAAAAACCATATAAAAACTTACCACTAAAAAAATTAATCAATTGATGATTATTGCTATTATGTTGATGATAATGATGAATCAAACCATTACCAGTTTGATCGACACCAAACACCGATGTTGATGACATTAATTGGCCAGAAATATTTCTCATTGATGATGATAATAATGTTATTGATGATGATAATGTTGATGATGATGATGATGATGATGATGAAATGCCAAAATTACTTGAATTTGGATAATAATATCCTTGACGACATTTACATATATAAGAACCGCTACGGAATCCAAGACCTGAAATAGTTTGGCACTAGAATTGATTTATTTGTATTTATTTGATTGATTCGAATATTCAATTCATTCACGTGGACACACACACACACACACAAAATGTTTATGTCAACAATGAAACATATTCAATCCATCATGATCAATGTTTTGTTGATTTTGTTGTCCAGAAAAAAAATACATATGATTTGATTTGATTTGATTTTCATTTTCATTTCAAATTATTATTGATTCCATGAATAAATGATTGATATGATGAAAATTTGAAGAAATAATAGATTTGTGTGTGTTTTGGGTGGAAAAGAAGAAAAAAACAGAAAAATTATTAAATCAATATTGACCAAAGAAATCAATGTGTGTGTGTGTGTGTGCAAAGAAATCTATTCATAAAGTGAAAAAAGTGAAAAAGTGACAATATGAAATCTATATCTATATCTATACTCTTGGTTCGTCGTTCGATATGGCCATTGAAATCAACTGAACCGCGAATAAAACTGAACAAAAGAACAGAACAGAATTTTTCTTTGGGATCGATTTTTTTTTTTTGGTTCGGAATCGGAATTAAAAATCAAATGAATCAAACTATGATAATAAAGAATGATGAAAGGGAGAGAAAAAAAAGACAAATAATAGGGCCAAACAAAATAAAGAAAATGAATTGGCAAAAAAAGAGAGAGAGAGAGAGAGAGAAAACAAACATGAAAAAGGAAGGAAAGAAAAGTGAAAAGAATCAAATGCGACTGAAGAATTAGGATTCTGGGAAAAAATTAAAAGTGAGAACCAAAAAAAAAACGAAACGAAACGAAATCAATAAAAATGTTACTTGAAGCCGGAAGTGTTTGAGAATTTTTTTTTCATATGTCTGAAATTGAATTCAAAAAAAAAAAAAAAAATACAAAACAAACCTGAGTAGATGGTGTATGGCACTTGTGCGTATCGGAAAAGAATGAATTTGAATTGGAACATTGATCCATATCGATTTGTTTTAAATTTATGCTGACAAATACCAAACCACTATGAGTGGATTGAATTTGTTGATGATTGTATTCGTATAATAAAAATGATGCAATGAATGAACGGAACAAGAGCCAACAAATTGAATGACGATGATGATGATGATGATGATTACACAATGATTCAAGTTGTTCCAGAATGCAGATGATGAAAATAAAAGAGAATGAAAATGAAAGAAAAACAAACATTAAAATGATTAGCATTTAAAATTATCATTTTTTTTGTCAAATATTCAACAAAATTCAAGTCAAAATGCAATTCAAGTTATTTTTGTCTAGTTGACAACATTATTTGGTTAGTAGTTTGTGATTAATTATGAATTGTAAATTGTGAATGGAAAAAATTTCAACAAAATGTAATTGAATTTTTCAAGTGTTGAGAAAACAAGGTGTTAAAAAAAAAAAAATTCTTCAGTTATTCTTCCATTGTTCACACATCTAGAATTATTATTTTTTTGTGTCAAAATATGTAGTCAGTACTTTTGTTCTTTCTTTCTGGAAAAATGGAACAACCACACACAGACATGAATACATATAGAAAATTGTTCTTTTTTTCTTTTTTTGTTTCTGTATCATGATGATGAACATCATTTCAAATTCAGTTGTCTCATTTATTCTCGTATGGGTGGTGTGGATTCATCATTCTATTTTTAATTTGATGGCATTTTTTTGTTTTGTTTTTCATTTCATTTCATTTGTTCTTGGAAAAAAATACATAACACATACACACCATTCGTTTGTTCGTTTGTTTGTTCGTTGTTGTTGTTGTTGTTGAGCAGCATCAAGTCTTTGTTTAATGAATTTTTTTTTCTTCTCTCCATTATCTTTACACTTTATTCCTGTTCTTCATTTTTGGTACAAATTCTTATTATAGAATGAATTTTTTTTTGTTTCTCGTTCATGTAATTTTGTTTTTATTCTTCTTCTTTTTTTTTTTGGTTCAAGTTTAATTGGTTTCGACTATCTTGTTCTATTCAGTATTTATTGGGTTTTTTTTCTCTCTCTTTTTTCATGTTTTTTTTTCTCCAGTTATTTCTTTGAAATTCACGAAGAAGAAGAACATGTTTTAAATGGCAAGCAAGATTTGGAAACATACACACACACACAAAAAACCTTACACAGAATAAAAAATGTTCGTTTTTTTCGAAATTCTTATTGATGTATTATGTTTCATTGAACAGAATTCATATAATAATAATTTTTAAATAATTGATTCTCTATGATATTATATATATAGAGCACTTTAGCACTTGGTGTGTACGAAAAGACGACGACGACGATGATGATGATGATGATCAAAACCATGCTGGAAATGTGAAATAAAAAATGAACAAAAACAACATAGGGTCGAATTCTGTAATTCAGTCTCCGAACGAAATGTTAATGGAAAAAAATTTCTTCTTTTCTTTCGTTTTTATTCTTCAGGTTCAAAATTCTTGTTCAAATGGATTTGCTCTTTTTTTTCTTCTCTTTTTTCAGTATTATTCTTCTTATTTTGTTTCACTCACGTGTATCTCTCAAATGAATTCATGAATGAATACAATTTATTATATTCAACTTGAATAGTGGAAAACGAAACTGGTGTGGAACAGTGCAAAGAATCCACAGAATTCATACAATTCTAATCAATTTGATTTATGCTACTATACTAATGGTTTCAAGTTGTTTCAAGTTATATGAGAAATGTACTTTTATTTTATTTTATTTTTTCTCTTCATCATTATTAAACCAAAAAAAAAAAACATGGCCCCATGTGATGTGAATGTATCACATTGAAACAAAACATTATCCATCGATAATATATATAAAAAAACAACAACAACAACATAACATAGTCGAAGCTTAACCTTTGGTGATGATGGAATTTGAATTATCGCGAAACATATCATTTTTATTACTGATCATTCATCATCATTTGGTGAAATATAGTGAAAATAAAATGGAGTATTGTTCAGTTGAATCAGATCAACACCATTATCCATTGTTATCATCATCATGATCATGATCATGATAATCAATGAACCGTTGAAATGATACAAACAAATATTAGATAAATTCAGTGATTGGCATTACAATTAAATGGATTTTTTTTTGAATGAATGAATGAATGAAATCTATTCTATAATGATGTATTCTCAAAATAGAAAAAAAAATGAAAATATCTCCAGAGAATATATAGATGTGTGCATATGTGTGTGTGTGTTTGAGATGATTCCAGTTATCTTGATTATGTTTTTTTTTTTTTCAGTCATCATTCTAAAAAAAAGTTTTACACATTATCGAATATGATTGATATCATCATCATTATCATTTCCGGTATATAGTAATCGAATGAGTTTTTATTTATATTTATTTTTATTCTTCATTGTTTTTTTCGTCATAATCAAATCGATGAATGATTCCATTGGATGGATGGATGGATGAATGGATGAATGGATGGAATCGAATGGAATGGAATCGAAAGAAACAAAAAATGATAATAAACATACAATGGAATGGAATATAAACATTCACAATTCAATACTGAAACTAATAATGGCCGTTTTTGTTTTTTGTTTTTTTTATTGTTCAATAATGGGCGTGGTAGGGAACTAACAAACATATACACATTATTATTATTCAAACAAAATAGAAATATATAGGTTTTATGTGTGTGTGTGTGTGTTTGTTTGGACGGAATATGGACCAGGAAAAAAAATTCAATGATAAGACGACGACAACGACTACAACGAAAAAAAACCGGCCCAAAATATTAAGCAAAAATAATAATAATAATTTTGATAATCTGATCCTGGATCTATGAATCTTTTTTTTCTTTTTATCCAGTAATTTTTTGTATTCAATAATAATAATAATCCAATTGGGGCAAGTATGGCAGGTGTATTTTATTTTATTTTTTTTTTTTTTTGACTTTGACATAAACAACAAAGTTATTTACAAATACCGGATTGAACATAGACCAACAACAACAACAACAACAAAATTTTTGAATTAAAGAATGTAGTGTTAAAGAACTTAACAAAATTGAATTCGCTCACGCATACACACACACACACACACACATACACCATAAATTATTTGTTCTTTTGTCTGAGTGCATTTTTTTCCTACCATCATCATATTCTTTAAAATAATGATTCGAAGAAATTCTTTGGAAACAAAATTCTTAGGAAGATGTCATAGAACAGCCATCATGGTTTATGGAATGAAATGATGATTTTTTTTTTTTTTTGAAAAAAAGTGTAGAAATTAAATGGCGAAAAATGAATTCATTGAATCTATTCATTAGAAAGAAAAAAAAAAGATGAATTTCATTTCTAAAATTAAATTTTCCACTGGAATTCAAGCCAGTGAAATTCTAATTTATTATATTTTGTGTGTGTGTGTGTGTGTGTATGATTGGAAAGAAAAATTCATTTCCTTTGGAAACATTGTATAAATTCATTGTGACACTTGAATCTGGATATCACACACACACAGACACACAGGCTTTTGTTTATTTGTTTGTGCAAATGGTCAACAGCAAAACACATCAGAAAAAAGAGAAAGAAAAAACACATTTCCAAATGGAAATTAATCAATTCGAATTTCAAAACATTGACGTTATGTAATATATATTTATTTATAATAATAACGCCATTAGTTATTTCTACCAGCTATTTCATTATTATATTAGCTGTCAAAGAATCGATTTTCAGGAAAAAAAAAGCAAAAGAGCCTAAAACTAAACACAACGACTAGATAACGCATACACACACACACACACAGACAGACAACAATACATTAATAGAAAAGAAGCAAATTCAAGATTCATGTCCGTATGTGCGTGTGAAAGAGAGAGAATCGTGTTTGCTTCTTAATGACTAGAATGTGAGAAAATTCTATACTTTCACATTCCATGTAGATAGGTGTAGATTTTTTTTTATTGGATTCAATTATTATTGGTCCAATGTTTGTGTGTGTGTGTGTGTGTTTAGTTGTTTTTTTAAAATTATTAATCATTATTTATCAAAAACAAATAAAAAAAACTTACATTAAAATAGGTGAATCATCAATGATTCCATAAAAAGGCACTATGTAGCTAATGAGCCATGTTTTCGTTATACCACAGTCAATATACGGACTGGACCATACACCCATTCCATTGTAAAGAATATTTATATTGTTTTTATTGTTCGATTGTTGTTGTTGTTGTTGTTGTTGTTGAATCAAATAATGATGCGTCATTGACGATAATGATGATGATGATGATGATGATGGTAATGATCTCCATTGATCAACAATTTCTTGTCTATAATTAGTATATGCAAATTTCCAATACCATTCTGATTGAAAATATTCCCTTTCAGATGATGATGATGATGAATATTGTTGTTGTTGTTGTTGTTCATGTTGATGTAGATGTTGATGATTATGATTAAATAGATTCATACGAATAGTATTATTTAATCGTTTTGAATGTTGATCACGATAAATGAATGGTGTAAAATGTTTAAAATTTGGTAATATTTCATCAAGAAATTGATTGGAAAATGAAAGACCAGCGCCAAATATTTTATCATCACTCTGTAGATTTGCTAATAATAATGACCAATAAAAATCTTTATTTGTAATCAAATAATGTAATGAAATATTTTCACGTAAATTTTTAAAACTAAATAAATTTGATAAAAAATGTGATGTACGTATAGCAATGTCGGCTTGTTGATCAAAACGATTATAAACATTTGTTGTTGTTGTTGTTGTCGTAGTGGTCGTCGATGATGGTTTTCGATTCTGATTATTATTTGTTTGAATGGTAAAATTCAATTGATTCAATGAAACACGACGACAATACATTAAATCTTCGGCAGTAAAATTATTTGTCAAATCAATAAATTTTAATATAGCGCTAATATTATGCAGTTTTTGTAATTGATTCAATGTTTTTATATCTTGATTAAAACGATTATTATCAAATTCATTATCATCGTTTGATTTTGTTGTTACGGTTGCCGTTGCCATTGTCAACATCGATGATGATGATGATGACCAATCAAATAATTCATCATACGTTTTGAATGTATCCGGATATGATTGCATTTGTGTTGTTTGCGATGATGTTGTTGTTGTTGTTGTTGTTGTCGAAGATGCTTTCATCATTGCCGCTGTTGTTTGTATCTGTAAAACAGATACAGATATAGTTGCTGTAATAATAGCCGATATTGTTGTTGTTGTCGTTGTTGTTGTTGTTGTTGTTGTTAAACAATCATTATGATTAATTCGAGCTAATAATATAATGATTATTATATAAATGATTGAATAATATCTTAATCGGCTATTTGTCGATATTTGTCGATGATGATGATGATGATGAACATTGTTTGTTATCCACATCATCATCATCATTATTAAACATTGCTTTTGAATCAAATATAGTGGAATATGATCTTAAACGACAATGTTTATTATGATTATTTGATCGTTGTTGATTTTGTTGTTGTTGTTGTTGTTGTTGTCTATATTGATGACAACCAATATTTATATTATAATCGACGATTGTATTATGTACAAGTATATCCATTTTTAGATAATTTTTCATCATACTAGTTGTCATTGTCATTGTCATCAACATCATTTATTATTATTATAATAATAATCTTCATCGTAGTTAGATAGATCATCATTATCCATTTTTGTTTTTTGGACAAATCAATTTTGAATCCAGAAAAAAAATCAATCGGAATAATAGGAAATTCTGACTAAATAGTTGTTTGTTGCTTTTGTGGATTTTGATTTTTTTTTGTTTTGTTTTGTTTTTTTTCAATCAATTAATTTATTCCAGATTTATATAATGGATGAATGATAATCGAGAATAATGATGATGGTGAAACGTGACCGGAAATTTGACCTTTGATATATTTTTTAAGCTAAATTTTTCATTGATTGTGAATGCGTGATTAATGGTAATGATGATGATTATTACGTTGATAATGGTGATAATATGATTAATTTAACGGAAAATTAATTATTCAATCATCAAACAAACAACAGAAAAATAATAATGTCATCATTACCGTTGGAATGTTGGAATCATATTTTTCACACAAATAGATTTAAACTTTAAAGAATAATGATGATGATGATGATGATAACTTTAACTTTGATTTCAAAAATGAACAGAAAAAGAATAATATACACGGAATTCACATTTGGGAATACATCCATTCATCATTAATCCCATCATCATCATCATTTATCTGTGTATGTGTCGGTCGGTTGTCTGTTTACAATCATTGATGAAAAAAAAAATTCCGGATAAAAGTAAGATTGAATGACTATATATATATATACTGACAACACAAACATATACAGACAATAATGTGATAGCAAATGTAATAATTTTTTTTTTCACTTAACTCCAGATGATCATTATTTGATGGAAAAAAAATAAATGATAAAATAAAATCATTATCGATTCACAATCATAGATTAGAAGAAAAAAAAGATAATCAATCAATTGATGGATCGATCGATCGATCGATCTAACCGTGTTATCGATGTCACGAAATTAATCGGTTCAATTCGAATTTTTTTTTTTTTTTTGGATCACGACACATGCACACATCTTAGTTGATCCATGGCTGCTGCTGTTTTTTAATCATTAAAATAGAAAAAAAAGATCCACGATAAATTTTATAGCAATAATCATGGAAAACCACAGAATATAAATCCCGTGTGACCAAAAAAAAAAAAAAAAAAAAGATAGATGGACATCGAAACAGAATCTCACAATGAATAATTGAATGATCGAATTAGAAAACCACATCAAACAGAGTCCAAATTGATTCGTTTTGTATTTTCAGATTTTTTTATTCAAACCAATAACAAATGAAATATAGGGATTTTTTCGACACTTTTCATTTGCCATGTCGCCTTAAGAAAATATTTCGTTGTTGTTGTCGTTGTTGTTGTTGTTTTTTGTTGACATTCTAATCACTGTTGTCATCGTCATTGGGATTCATTCTATTTTTATATGCACATATTATATTGTTGATTGGCTGTGCTGTTATATATAAATTCATTTCACACATTTCATTATATCGATATCCGTTCGATTCGTATAGCGAGAAAATCAAAATGGAAAAAAACAACTACGACAACAATCAAGAAAATAAATTCTATTCAAATTCACAGAATTCATCATCATCAGCACAACCATCACTATTGAATTCATTAAAACACATTTACAATATTGTAGAAGGGTTGTAGGATGATATAGAATACACACACAGAATTCTGTTTACTGTTGTTGTTGTTGTTTGAAACATGCGAATGACAAAAAAACAACAAACAAAAAGCTCTAAACAACAGCAGAATATAAAAAAGAATGGAAAAAAAATGAACGATAGAATGATGTGTTCTTTTTAAGTTGGTTTTTTTCCATGAATTCTTCTTCTTTTTTTTTGCTTGAATTATATCCGGTTGATTGAACAGATTCAGATGTATAAGGAAGTTGAAGATGAAGACAAAAAGTGAGAGTGAGTGAACAAAAAAAAAATTTTCGGTCGATCGGACATTAATGTTGAATGATCGTAATTCTTTCACAGTGAGAGAAAAAAAGGAACAAATTCAAAAATTCATGATTTCAGTGGAATAAGAAGCAAAAAAAAAAAATTCCATTAAATCACACAGTTGTTTATGGTCTGTGGTGAAGAAACGAATTTGTCGATTGAATTGATTTGTCAATTTTTTTTTCTTCTGTTGCTGTTTTTCTTTCATATTTTTTTTTTATTGTGTTCATAAAAACAATTATTATAGAAAAAAAGGTGTTTCTCATTATTATCGTGATCAATTGTAAAATAAATTGAAAACTGCACACACTTACACACAATAAATTTTAAATGAATTATATTTCAACAGCAGCAGCAGCAGCCGAGAAATAATAATAATAAAAAAAAACCAATGAACTGTAGAAACAAACATAATGAAGAAGAACAGAATAATGAACATAATGATTTCTTATTCGTTTTTTCTTTATTCTCTTCCTCTTCTTCTTCTTCTTCATCGGAATTGTTGTTGTTCATGTTAATGATATAATGGCCATTTGTTCTATTGAATTGAGAAAAAAAAATATTCTGATCTTTTTTTTCTGTTGACTTGAGAACTTGATACCGCTACCGTTGGTTCTGTGCTGTAATGTTTAACCGATCAAATATCGAACAACACAATTGTTTTGTTATTGATCAAATGAAAACAAAAAAACATCCAAAAAAAAACTGTAAGATAATTTCGGTGAAATAAAATGAAGAAAAAAAAATCAGTTTGAAATCATTTTCGTTGGCTTTGACTTTTTTTTTCTCTCTCTCTCTCTATCAATCTTTCGCTCTGTCGAACAAATAAAAACACACACGCACACACACACACGCAGAGAGAGACTATTTTACTGGATCATTTCTGGAACTTGGAAGTTGATCTTTGTCGTCGTCGTCGTCGTCGTCGTTGTTGTCGGCTGTATTCCGAACAGAATACTAATAGATGAAGAGTAGTAACTATTCAAAACATATATATGGGCAGTAGCATCAAAATTAGTCGGTATTTGATATCAAACTTTGGCTTTTTTTTTGTTTGTGGGAACCTCAAATTCTATCAAAAATAAATAATAGACCCTGAAAAAAATGTAGAAGTAGGATAAAGATGATATATAAGAGAGAGAGGAAGAAAAGAATTTGTTGTTGTTGAAATGATTTTCATTTTCTACTTCTGTGTAGAATCATTTAAAATACACACACGCATGGATCCATAAAACGGATGGTGATGATGTTTGGGTCGATGTCATGGCTAATGTAATTCTGTGTGTATGATGTGAATCGGCAAAATGTTCGGCTCGATTTGGCTTACACGAATACAAGGTTTTTTTTTCCACTGAGATTCGCACTCTCTTGCTAACCAACTTGGTATCAGTCCGTATTCTGGTACTGGTGAATTGTTTTTTTTGGTTTTGAGACAATATATGAATGGCGCACGCCCAATTTGTTGTTGTTGTTGTTGTTATTCTTCAAAACAAGAATAATAGCTTAAACGCAACGGTTAACAGAATGTGAATGTGTATGTTTGTTTGCTGTAAGTGCAAATGTATATGTGCCGTTATCATTTTTATTATCAACCACCACCTCGATTTTTTTTTGGGATTTTTTTTCTCTTTTTAAAAATTCTTTTACTCTCAGTCTCTCTCTCTCTCTCTCTCTAATGAATCAGTGTTTCAACCATACCACTTCTACCGACATCTCATTTACTTTTGTTTTCCCCATTTTAAATAATTGGATTGGATTTTTTTTGTTTTGTTTTGTTTTCCATTTATTATTTCTATATAGAAATAACCATCATTATTAAATGGATCATGGTACTATTTGACACATATATACACATCGTCGTTTGTTATTGTTGTTGTTGTTGTTTTTTTTGGGCGCCAAATACATTCCAAAGTAATATAATGAAATTGGCGTACCTAACAGTTATAGTTTTGATTGTTAGATTCTTTATATAGAATTGATAATGGAACATTATTGTGTGTGTGTATGATATGTGAATTTCTACATTGTAGTATAAAAATGAGTGGTCACCATGATGTTGGAGATCCCCTTCCTCAAAAAACCAACATTAGATAAATAGAACATTTGGTGAAATAAGAATAAAGACAAGTGAGGGTACACCCCTTTTAGATGATATAAGAAATGTAAGAAAGATGTTTCAATATTTGGGTGTGTGTGTGTGTGTGCTACTTGTACTTATAATAAAAGCCATTAATAATGATGTGATGGTAGTGGTGATGGGCGCAAGTTTTTTTTTTTGTTTGTCCAGACACTACAAATAATCTGGACATCAACAACACGTTGGTACGTATGAAAATGGTGAATATTTGTATTTTGAAACCAATTCAAAATGGAAACAAAAAAAATGAACAAGAATAAGAAGAAAAAAAATTGTTTTCACCATTTGATTCTTGAATGAATTGGACCGAATCACAAAAAAAGTATTTGCATACACGCATACACACACACAAATGGTAGCGGGAAATTTTTTCTTTCTTTCTGATCCATTTTGAACAAAATGTTTTTCTTTTCTTTTTTTTCTAATGGTTTCTTTTGGCTTCATTTCTTTTTCCGTTAATGTGATGTTGTTGTTGTTGTTGTTGTTGTCCACTTTGTCATACGAATTGTTTGTCCGGTTTTTTTCCTTTGGTTGTTCTCGATGTGTGTGTGTGTGTGTGAGTGTATGCTCGAACAATTCAGAATCAGTCATTCAGAATCTGGCAAGAATAACTGTATTTGTATCGTTTTTTTCTGGTATTTGAAAACAATTTAAAAATTTTCAAATAATTCAAA